CAAGTATATATTTTTTAATATAGTTGGCCTAACACCCTATCTATGAGCCTTTAAAATATATGTGTCATATTGAAAATATCCATAACCATAGTATTGAACTAAAAGAGATCTTCTTTACAAATGAAGGTGGTTTTTTCTTTTTTTGACTTTACTAATAATATCTACAATAATCTTGCTATAAGGTCAATTGTCAAGAAGATTATTGTATCTTTAAGCTTGTTAAAAGTAATATTAATATGTAAAAGAAGATAGGTGTCTTTTTTAATGATAGCATTGAGCTTCCAATAGTTGATTCAAAAGGAAGTGGAGCCATCTTTCTTTTCAACAAGCACAACAAGACTTACTTATAGAGATAAGGAAGTATTTATTAATTTTTTATTCAATGGTAGTTTGTTCTTTAGATGATTCATAACATCTTATTTACTATATGAGGACCACTTCTATTATAATATTGTGTGTCAAGATCTTTGTTCAACCTAGATCAATATTGCTCATACTAAATATATTTAAGTTGTTGTAAATGAGTTGCAATTTTGATTGCTATTGATTATTGATAAGATTTTTGTTTAGCTTAATAGTACCCACCATATTGTGGAATTTTTGTATAAAATTGGATTGTATGATAAGAATAGTTATGTCCTTGATATTGAACAGTTGATGTGTGATTAAAGTCAAGCAAGTAACTCTTCTATTCTTAGATATGTTTTAGGTATTAAGATAGTTTGACTACCAATGACACCTTAGCAACAATTAATTATACAAATATTTGATGTTATGTAATGCAAAGTAGCATAGTTATGGAATAGGCAAAAAAGAGCTTTTTCTTATTATGGTACCAGTAATTATAGATGTTGTATACTACTATATCAAAGATATATTGAGTTGATTCATGCTATGGTTTAACTTGCATGAAGTGGTTTATGAAGCATACTATCATAATATTGCTAGGAAGTAGTGTATGAGTGAGTGATGTAGAATGAGTAGCAAAGTTGAAGCTTCTATAAGTTTTGTTTTTTAAATCGTTGCTATTGGTGATTTGCCTTTATTATTGGATAGTAGTACTATCTATGTATGTATTCATTTATTTATTGATTTAAATTTCAAGAAAGTATGTTAATAATCGTAAATATCTATGTATATTAATTATGAGGTAGATACATAGAATATATGTATGTCAAGCTGCATAATGATGGCTATAATTAATATTACTTTGGATTTTTTTTTAACCATTGAATGTAAGTTTTTGTTTAGCATAGTAAAAAATACATAATATTTTGGTAAATCAATCTAAGTCCAAGAGGATCTTATCTTCTAAATTGATGATGATCTTTATAATAATACCATAATCCATGATTGCAAAATATATTGATACTACTCTAAGTAAGTGGTAAGAAGTTTTATCATTTATAGTAACTTGTATATTAGGTGATTAAAGTTTAAAATTTAGAAACCAAACTAAAATGACGAATTATAGTGAGGTTATAGATAATGTCCACAATGCATTGCTTGTTAATGCAGTTGATTTGTTTGGAGACCACTTATAGTCAAACAATGGTGAGCTTTCACGAGGGCACCGTGTAGTTGAGGGCAAAAAATATAATTGATATCATGACATTGTATTATAGGTTTCTGATAGTGTACACGTTTGAGCTATGATCTAATGCAAAATATATTGGTTAGTTCAAAGACATAGATATAGTTTGTTCTATTAATAATCAACAAAACTTTAAAAGCATGCTAAGCAAGAATAGATGTAATGAGCAAGTCATGGCATTATACTCCATCTTGTCACAAATGCTACAAGATGGAGGTCTTTATATGAAGGAGGTTTTCTTAACTCCTTTCATTGATTTATTGTCATTCTTTAGGTATTGATTGGTAGTGGATTGAAGTGCTTTGTAGTTGTTTTGTGATACTTGTAAGTATGACATCAAATTTGATTTCTTTTAATTTAAGTTCTACAAAGTCTTTAGTGGTTGCTTTGAAGGTTTTAATGAATGTTGGTTTGGACCGTGCTCTTAAGTGAGCGATATCACTATTACATAAAGATGCCTTGTATATCTTTTGTTTAGGTTTTGGACCAACATATATTGTTGAGATTGAGTACATCTACTTGTGATTCAAATAGGTTCTTGACATTGATGTATAATCATGTTTAAAATTGTGAAATTTGATATTATTTTAGAGTAAAATATGTGTCCACAACCATATTGAAATCTTACAAAAATAAAAATAAGTCTTAATTAAATATAAATCCTAAATTCTAAATCCTAAATTTAAATTGATCTTAACTAAGTATAAATATTAAATCTAAATTAGGCTTAATTAAGTATAAATTCTAAATCTTAAATCCTAAATCCTAAACATGAGTCATTAAGGTCAATAAAAAGATGGAAGAGATTCCATTGGTGGTGGGAAAGGTAGAAACAATTTCATTTGTGGTAAAAAATGTTAATAGAATTATGAGACATTGTATAAGGTATATTTTTTTTTCAAGTCATGATGAATAATATATATTGTAATATATCAATTGCAGTCAAGCAAACATACTAGAAGTTTTTTTATTACTCTGAATCAAATTCTTCTTCTATAACTTTGCCAAAGGAGGTAAAAGTTGAGGCTTCCAATATTGTTGAAAATTTATTGGTGGTTGAAAATTATGAATGGAATATTTTCTTATTTAATGCTCTTGAAATAGACAGCTTCTTAGATTTGTTAGTCATGTATATGGGATCACATCTAAAAAGTAGCATATTTTTTGGAGATAGGATAATCATACCACACAAAAGCTTATATTTCTACATTCAATTATGCAAATGACTTAAAAAATAGTCCATTACCACATTGTAAAAAGTCTTGTCTCGTGTACAACCATATTATGAAATAAAAGTATTAATGTTCTTTGCATATACTAAGAAGATTAATGTATATATTAAATACATGTCCATTAAAATGGCCAACATCTCACTATTTTGAATGAAGAAGGTCAGTTTTTCCTAGAATTATCCATAGGTTATTAAGTTAGATTTGAAACTTGTAAGTTTTCACATAAAACTCCAAGCTAGAAAATATCGCAAGCTACTTATTTTAAGAAGGAGTCTTTTGAATATAAAATATATGATAATAAATGGCAAGATTCAATAGATGCAATATTGAGCTTCTATCAAATACAACAACTTTCTTAGCTAACTACTAAATAATGAGCAACTTCACTACAGCCATATTGAGAAGTATCTTCTAAGTATCTATTATTATTTGAGAGAATGATGCAACTCTATAGCTAGTAGTATATAGGACTTGTTGCATGTCTTCAATAGCCAAGTCAAGTAATTTGTCCTTCATCAAAAAAATTATGTATTATTGAAGACAAAGGTCATTGAGATTGAATGATGTAGTATGCTTCCAAAGTCCTAGTCTTTTCAAAGTTCACCTTGGAGGTAGATTGTATTAATAGAATTTATATAAATTAGTAAATTAGAGCATCATCTCCACATGTAATTTTGTCATTTATTTTTTCTACCATTTCTAGCCTCTCAAGAAAAGTTGCAAAGATGTTCTTATCTACACCTTCTAATTATTGAGCTTCCCAAGCCAATTGCTCTTTAGTTACTCTTGTATGGCTTAATGTCTTTCAAATTGTTTAGCTAATTCTATTAATATCTTGATTGTTTATCTTAGTTCATCAATTTTTTCATTCTTTAGGAAGTAAGCATGAAAGCTTTATAAAGTATCTGGTGTCTCTACCAAATGCTTAGCCAAGCACTATTCCTATTAAGGTTTGATAGAGATACTCATTACAACTTATATACTTGTAAACAAATAGTTGGGAACTTTTATAAGAAAATTGTAGAATCGGATTAAAGACACTTGACCTAACATATAACAAACTTTGACAAGATGCAAAGAGTTGTCCAAATATTTAATCCTAGTTGCAAGAGAGCCATAGAATGATCTCTCAAATACTTGTCTTTTCAAGTTTTTGTTTATCATTTATAATATAAAATACATAAGTATTGTTTGTATGGTCTGACTAAGTATGATAATAATACAAGCTGATAGATGGAGATATGATTTTGGCCAAGCTAAATCTTATCTCTACAAGTATAGTAGCTGCTTCAAATTTTGTGAGCATCTTACTAACAAACAACCAATAGTTGGAAGTCCCTAAAATATTAAAATATTAATAAGAGAGATGAGAGTTGAAAGATTTAGGGGTTGAAAAAAAAAACAAAAAAAATCCAAAGCACAGAGATGTTTATGAATAATTGGATTGAATGAAATTCTTTAAAATTTACAAACAATTAGACAGGGTTAATGAACTAGACAGGTTTAGGGTTAATAAAATGTTCATGTGCGAGGAGTCATTAGGATTTTCTGTTCATCCAGTACCAGCTGGGTACCTATTCCGCTGCTGCCGTTCTATAAAAGGTGCCTATTCTCCTTTCTGACAGAACTCGTTGTTTGACCTTACTAGTGTTTACACACCTTTTATTGCAAAGTTTATAATTGGGAACTTGATTGATATTAGGCGAAGACATCCGTACCCACATCCTACATCCAAAATCTACATGGAGGGCACAAATTGCAATTTCTCCCTTTAACAACTACAATCTAACGAAGTTTACTATTAAATGTATACATTTCAAATGTTTAACCTGAGCCTGCATGATAAAATATCTGCATCTGAAGGCAAATTCACAGTTCGATTTGCAGAAGGACCACAAGCATATGGACATTCTAAATGAAAAGTGGGTTTGTGATGCAAGATGATTTATCAATCATTCTTTCATTCATAAGTGGAGGTTGTGATTTCTTACAAGACAAAAGTCTTTATATACAATTTCATCTGTAAAAGTAGAATAAAACGTACAATATCTCACATGTGCTCGATTTGTCACGAAGCATAATGTATGGATAAACCTACTTCATCAGCAAGAAAATCTACAATAAGAATTCAATTGATCTTCATGAATCTGAAGAATCTACTTGTCTGCTCAGTATACACTCAATCATTGCAACTTCCTTGGAAGCAGTTCGAAATTCCATAGTAATAGGGCAATGATCACTACCACAGACACCTACAACGGAAAATGACGTAAGGATTAATTCCAAGTTGTCGTCCAAGTACCCACTCTATCAGGAAGACCAGCTTCGAGAAGAACCCATTACATGAAGCAAGGCCAAGAAAAAGGTATCTCCAAAACCATGTTTGTAGATTACTAAGAGTAATGGAAACAGCAAATCAAAAGAATCCAGCCAGATGAGTGCCGAAATATTTCTAGATTGTGGGATAATTTGACTGAAAATAAGCGAAGCCAAATACCCTCTTACTCTATTCCCTGCCCATGAATATTACCTGCTTACAAGCCCGTCAAGCATTTTTCTGGACAACAAAAAATAATCAATCCTCATGCGCTTCCCTCGGTACATGTCAAGATGGAAAATATACATTGAATGTGAGCAAATTTCTGGCAATTTGACGTTGTCCCGGGTCCAAAAAAAAATTGATACAGATCAACAATAGTCCTCAAAAGCATTAATCCACCAGAAAATGCTTTAGGACAACTGGTGATGAATACAATACTTCAGCTTGAAGCATGTACACCGACGCATTCATGGAAATAAACAAAAAAAACTCCAAAAGACGTCGAGCTTTTGGACTTACTTTCTAACAGGATTTGCTGACTAGGTGAAGCCAGTACCAAAATCCTGCTGTTTGTGCAAATACCTATACGTATCTACCAAATCTCCTCTGCAGAATCCATAAAAATAGAATTGAATGAGAAAGATATGCTGTCTTTTCCGTATTGTAATCAATCACTATTCATATGCTAAGCGCACACACTTGGATATGAGAGCGAATACGGAAAGAAGTTAGAACATAAGGGATGATTCAAAAACGAAGCAGTTGAACCAGATCTCTTTGTCAACATGTACCAATGAGCCAACCAACTGAACTTACGAATACGTCTAGAACGCAATAGAAAAATTGAAAATTTGACGCCTAAGCGTTTCATCTATGTGGTTGTGAGCACACTCCAATCGATTGAAGACAAACGTAGAGGATTCAAAGGACACACACTCTGAAATACTATCAGCAAAACGTTGGCGCTCTGCAAGTGTGAACCCTGGCTGCCCAATATCCTGCCCCAAAATATATATCACACACACACAGTAAGCCAGTTTGAAATGAGGAACCATGTGTACAAATTGTTGCTTAATACAACTTCTCAAATATTGCTAACTTCTCACGTCTTCGTGCCTATTTGTCCAGGGTTTGCCAAAATAACAGAAAAATCATCTATAAATGATATGGTGCATACAATCAGTATAAAAAAATTGCACTTTCTCCCGAGACAGACAAACGATCAGGAAATGTTGAATTTTTAATGTTCTTTCAAATACTTATTTTCTAATAGTCTTCTTTAATTTAAAGTAAGAAATTATCACATTATTCAGAGTTTAATAACCAAAAGATTTGTTTAGTACCTCAGTGTTTGAGGGTGAATAACCCTGGAGTTTGGCGTTAGCAAAAAGTCCTGGATGACTCACATCAATATATTCATTGTTGCACAAAGGTTAAAAAGATTGTAAGCAGTTTAGATGAAACAAGGACTCACAGGTAGAGACAAATCCAGATGAAATGCATTTCAAATTCGATCTGAAGTTGAGTTGTGACTTCCGGGTATAAAATCTTTCAACCACTGATTTGAACATAAGTGTGTAATGAGCTTTAGCTTAACACAACACTCCGATAAATTGCAAAATTCAATCCGAAAGAGATTTGAAGACTGAAACATAAAGACCCACCCAACATTGAGGTCCCCGCACCAAATGAGGGGTTTCTTATGTGGAAGTTTCACAAACTCGAGAATTCGTGCATCCCAAGCGCGCCGTCTGGAAAATCCATTCTGCTCATCTTTTCAGCCATTGTTTGGAACAAGTCTGTAGAGCAGCCGAAACGAGGGAAATTCTGCCAAAACAACACTTCCGTCTGCTTCATGCTTTAATATGCTTCCATCTGTTGAGAAAAATCAGTAAGACTCTACCAGTAACATTAAAATTTCGATGCATTTCAGAATTTTGATGCATGTGATCATGAAACGATAAAACATTTCATATACGCAAATTGCATAGTACAGATTAATTATAAACCATTACAAAAACAAAGTAGAAGGTACAATAGTAAGCCAAAATTGAATTCATCAGAATAGAGGCAATAGATCATGCACTAACTTAGTCATCAAGGAAAGACTTAACAGACCTAGAGGTGGGATCCACACAAATGACTTCATGACCTGGGGCCTTGACTTCAAAGATGGATGATCATGTGAAGACCTGGGTTTCTGGTAATAAGCCATTACAAGTGAGGAGAAACCAAATAATTTTTTTCATTTCGGTGATTGTTTCTTGTTCTCTATGGGGATGTGCTCAGGAAAAAACTAGTTCATGAACAATTATTGCCATGTACAGGTATCCAATGTTGAGCTTTTCAACTGATATGATAATTTTCTTATCACCATACAAGATACACTCAAACACAATATTATCGAATGATATTTGGAAGCGTATTCAACCTAAGCGTATTCAATCTAAGCGTATTCAATCTAGAACTCCAAATGTCACTTGTGAATAATTAAAATTTAAAACGCAAGTCTAGATAGAAAGTAGACAGGTAGTACAATTCGTGACCGTCAAAGTAAATCATGTACCGCGACAAAGGAATGGAGAAGCACCTGACTGGTCCAAAGAGCATGATATCGAGATTGGCGAGCAATTTTGCTTCACAAGAAGGGCAGTTCCGCCATAATTACTGTCACCCAGAGACCACCAAACTCCAGAGTCTGAAAGTGGTGACACTGACAGGGCATACATCGTGATCTGTTCAGACGGATTAACACCACTCCACCCCGCCACATTAAGTAACTTACCTTATGAGATGTCAACTACATGGGAAAGACTGAACATCGAGCTGAAGAAACATTCTACAATTAAGACATTGAAACAACCCAACAATTGTTTGTTGTTCAAACAAAAGGAGAAAAATCGTGGGACGCAAATTGACAGGTGCAAATACGAACTGAGCACGGGAGCATTTTTATACCCCGAAAAGAACTGTACAAAATAGATCTAGAACTGGCAGAGGTGGTAACCGATTTCCTCCGATGAACAAATCTTACAAGGATGATTACAACATGTATTGGAAAAAAGAGATGAAATATGCATAAATGCAAGTACGATATGAGCATATCTAATTAATCACCAAAATCATTAAGGACCAACCAGGAAAATAGAGATAATAAGGATATTGGTTGTAGAACAAACCTGCTTATCTTCGCATGCAGAGTTAGTATCATCTTTGAGCTCGCAATGATTAAGATCCCTCTTTCCGACCTGCTGAAGAAACACGAACTTCCTTTTTCTTGGAACATGTGGCAAACACGATCTATGGTTATGGCAATTAGAATACACTCAAGTCTAGAATTTTCGAATGCAAAACCTGGGTACGCAAACTGGATGATCAATGACTTCAGAGATTAAGGTGCATTACTTTGGTCAGTGAGATTGGAACCTGAATAGCAATGACATCTGGATCGAGGCGGCGAAGGGGGCTGAAAACTTTTTCTCGGTTACTTTTTGAGCGAAGAAAAAAGCTATTTGCATTCCATGACATGAACTTGGATGGTTCCCTTTTCTCAGAATCTTCTCTAAAGCAGATAGGAGTTCCATTCTCTCCACAAGAGGCTGCCAACCTTTTGAAGGAACCTTCTCGACGAACGGATTTGAAAAATCTCTTCATATTGCCCTTCAAACTAGAGCTGAAAATGCAACTACGCCGAGATCGATTTCTGCGAAACCAGTTTTAAATACAACTTTGATTAAAGAGCAAAGTCTAGCAGTTCCGAACTGTTTCAATTGTGTAATAGCAAGCATCAAATATATGTACTATACTATGGACCAGGAATGTTGGAAGTGTAGCATCTACGGGATCAAGGTACAGGTCCAGGACGTGGAAACATATCCAACTCATTCGGGGAACAATAGGACATCAGCGTGGATTGCAACAATAGCGAGAATGAACATCGCGATCGCCATGTAGTAAGGAAATAGCGAGTTATTGCGAGAGAACTTCCTTAAACAATGTAATATATTAAAATCGTCCAGATATAGTAGCTACTTGGGAACACGGAATACCACTAAACTCTTCCAAACGGTCAGATTCTGCTGAGAGAAAGACATGCTCTACAAGTACAAACGATAATTATTTGCAATCGTTGTAAAATTTTCAAAAATACGTTCCAGAAAAAATTCTCAAATACACAAACATCTTCGACCTTTCCACTCCTTCAACTAGAATCCTAAAATTAATAACTACCATTTCGCACTACTCTTACCTTGCGCGAACGCCCTTCTGAGTTACTGCTTTCCTTTCAAACGGCTACACAGAATTGCAGTTCCCCTCCAAATAATAAGAAACAATATCTATAAAATGGCAATTAACCATTCAACACTTGAGATTTCCTTTGGAAAGACCTCCCAGCAACAATTCCCAACCTGGCATGACGCCATCCCTCCACCGAAAACTCTAAAATGTACCAAGAACAGCAAGCCAATACTCTGGTCCTAACTTCTAGAAAATGCATCGTGGAGCCCAAACCCTGAAGAAACAATCGACGTTCACACACTCGTAGCTGAGTTCCACTTTGCTCAAGCTACGATATTTACGTATCAATCCCACCAAGCACAAGCGCAACGAGAATTGGTCACTACAAGAAATGAAGCCCCTCGTGCACACAACCTCGACCACGAGCAATTGTCTTCTTTGCCATTCAACCACAGCTTCAACTGAAACTGAAAACCTCCCTCCGTCACAGCAATTCAGAAATAAATCCATCCCTTAAGGACCAAACCCTGGCTGAAAACCAAGAACAGGTTATCGTCCCCCTCCCATCCACGGCGCAAACTCAACAGAGATCCACAGCGACTCAATTCAAGCACTAAGTAACCACTGCTTCGGTGTCCTCTGCATCACACTCTGCCCTCGAACGAGATGACATCAATGAAGGAGTTGTGGCCAAACGTGAAATGTCGAAACATGCAGCACCAAGGGGAGCGAAAATCGATGCAAAATTAACAGAAGTGCGCTGGACGACGGCTTGACGACGACAAACACGAGGAGCTCTGGGCTCGGGTGTGTCGTAGACGAGGAGGACGATGAATGCCTTCCCTCGCTGTTTTTCTTACCTTTTAAGGTCCAACCCCACTTTAAAAGATCCGATTGCTACTTTAAAGGTAAATGTTTTCACACACTTTGCATAGAATTGTGAGGCCAACGGTAAATCACTAATTTGGAAATTATTGAAGAATACTACTTGATGGGGGAGATAAGAGGTAGATGGAACATAACTTTTATTTAGTGTAAAAAGTGAGCCTAAAGTTTATAGACTTTACATAAAGTTTTTCTTTGAAGTTAGTTTTTTTTAGTTATAGTAAAAAACACATTTGAAGTAAAAAGTGGTAAAAGTGAATATAAGTTGATGTTGAAGAAAATCATCTCCACTTCAATACATTAATAATTTTTAATCTCAATTATTGAAGTATTTTATTTTTATTTTAGTAAAAATTATATAAAAAATTACTAAGATAATATAAAATAAATATTATTTTAGTAAAAAAGTGAATATATGTTGATGTTGAAGAGAATCATCTCCACTTTTATTTTTATTTTAGTAAAATATTTTATTAACAATCTTTGAATTATAATTTATAATAAATACTATTATTAGATGATAGATTCTAAATCTTTTATAAAAGTTAAAAATTACCAAAGACAAGACAAGATACAAGACAAGTTTAAAGACAAGATACAAAGGTGGAATTGTTGTTAATGTCTATTTATACATAATGTGTAAGATGATGTATTAAGTGGAGCTTATTGTATTTACAATGACTATGTTAATAAAATACAAAAAATTAGAAAAAATTATTTTAAACTATTGTAGTTGTTATAGTTTTTCTTTGCATACTTATATTTTTTATGTTTTATAATTTAAAAATTAAAATTTATATAACTATGATAACTTATTCAATATTTATTTAACTTATTGTTTAACTTATTATTTAACTTATTATTTATATTAATTATTTAATATTTATACACAAAGTGGATATTTGTGGTTAAGTAGTATATTTTGTTGCATTCAATCTAATTATGCTAAATTTAATATTTATCTATGAAGGTGAAAAATTAGTCTTATGTTAGTAGATTGTAGAAAAAAACTAATATTGCAATGAAAAACTATTTTCTCACTTTTTTAGTTTTAATTTATTTAATTATTTTTATTTAGAAGTTTTTTAATATTCATGATAATAAATTAAAAAAGAGTAATCTTCTCCTCTGGGATTTATGAAAGCTTCTTAAACTAAATGAAAAAAAAATCAAGTTGAAGAATACTTGAAACTAAAATTATCAAAGTTGTATCTTAATAACTTAATTTTTCTTTTACTACCCCTTTATTTTTTAACCTTTTATTGTCTTTTCATAGTTATTTTATTATTTTATTTATTTTTTAAATAAAGTATAAATCTTCCTCTTTAGATTTGACAACATTAGGACTACATTGCCAACATAGAACTATATTAGAAAGAGCAATATATTATATAATTTTATGACTTCTTATTGGCACAACATGCATTATCTTAAGGTGCCAATTGACTTGGTATCTTGACTTTTTAAAATTTCTTGGTCTTATTTGCTAGTATAAGATCTATAGTACATAATTCATTATTATTTGTTGTTTCAATTTCATTTTACTCACTAATTCTTAATTTTTTTTTTTATATAATTACATCATAGATTTCATCTTTTAAAGTAAATGTCTTTTAAAGAAAATGATATTTACATCTCTAAAAAAAACCATATAATATCTAAATGATTATAAATCATGATTTGAATATGTAATACATCCATATTTGAGCAAAAATACTAGAAAAATTAGAAGATAGGTACTATGAGTAAGAATAATTAATTATCAATAATGTGGATAAGATAGCATAGAATAGTTAAGAAGCAGCTTTTGTAGTACAAAACTAAATTGGAGCTTTATTATGTAGATAAAATGGCTTTTATTATGCAATTTAATCACTGATTTTATATTAATATTCTGAAATACATGAATTTTAAATATCACAATAAAATATTTATAGACTCATGTAAGTCTTTATGATTCTATTCTTGTTATATTGCCTAATATATTGCATTTGTGTATTGACATAATAAGCATGTAATTCTTGTTTTATAACATCTATCTATATTATTTTGTTATTGGTTCCAAATGTATTTATATGTAAAATTTCTATTATTTAATTTAATTCATATTTTTATAACTAATATTTACTTAGATATAATATACTTTGTACTTTCAAAACAAAATCTATAAATGAATAAAACATACAATATAATCAAATTTTGTCATAGACTTCTACCATTACATTATTTAAATGTAATTTTCTTTTACTTTTTTTTCCTCTCTCTCTCTCTCTCTCTATATATATATATATATATATATATATATAGGTATCTTCATCAAATATATAATATAAATATTATTTTATTTTTTATTTAGTTAAAATTTTAAATTTTGAATTTTTTCTTAAACAAAATAATTATATAATAAATATTGTATTGATATATTTACAATGTTTCTTATATTGTTGTTAAAAGCTTCATGGATACTATTGATATAATTGTTTTAATTTTCATAAACATTAAGCAATGCTTCTTTAAAATAATTATTTTAACTAAAGTTATTATATTTATTATGTATAAAATCTAAAAAATAGTATTTATTATTAATTAATAATTATTATAAAATAACTATTACTAATAATATTGAATTGATATTTATACTCTTGATTTAGATCTGATTGAAAAGACACTAGATTAAAAATAATCTGAGTAGAATAAAAAAAATGTATTTTAATCTGAAGAAAAAATCCAATAAAAATAAATTTTAATGCCTCTTATATTATTTTATTTGTTAATAAAATGATAAAAAAATCATTTTTTTACTTTTTGGATTTTTATTTTTATTAAAATATCACTTAATTGTTTTTTAGTACATCTACAATATTTTTTAATTTAAAAAAAATCGTGATATAATCATATAACCATGTAATATTTTAGAATTTAATTTAGAGATAAATTAGTCAAGTTGTTTTGTCTTTATTGCAACTACCAGTCCAAAAATAAAGTTAGACAAACAACTACAATAAAAATATCATATTGCATGAAAAAATAAAAGTACTAATTGTATATTTTATGGCTTTAAACTAATTTTAATAAATAAATAATAATTTTTATCAAATAAATCAACAAGAAACTATTATACTAGTGATCTATGTATTTCATTGTTTAATCAAAACTTCTATTCTTTTAGATTGATGAAGTACTAGTATTGAGTTTTAAAATTTCAATTTCAATGTAGAATTAATACTATCTACTAAGACTATTCAAGCAAAAATAAATATTTTTTTGTGGACAAACTGCCAAACCTATGTTGTAAATGAATATCACACAATGAATTCTCATTTCTAATGTTAAACCTAAGGTAGTTCTCTTTTTTTGTTTTATAAAAAATTGAGTGTTTTAAATTGTATATGCATCTAAAAAAGGTTGTACTACATAGTAAGCATATTTGTTATTACTTTAAAGAACCTTAGTTTGGATCTATGTTGCAATATTAGAAGTTAACCTGTTTATTTTTTACCAACTTAAGTCATATTATTTCGGAAAGTTATCCTTCTTATGGCCTACACTCTTAAATAAAGTTGCAAAATAAATGAATAAGCTAAAAAAAAAAAAAAAAAAAAAAAAAAAAAACCCCACTATGCTTGGAGAAATCTTACTCTCAAAAAATTCATCTCAAACACCAACAAAAAGCATTTTCTTAAAAAGGAGATTTAGCAACAAATTGATATTACTTTTCAGTATTTTGGTTTTGAAGTGATATGAAACTAAGTGTTTAAATCCATACAAGAAAGAGTTCAAGTTCATCATATTGAGGTTGTCTTGCTAACTTATCCTCACCCTCAAAACCCACAGTTTTAGCCGATTTCTTTTATTTATTCATTTATTTTATTTTCCTCTTCCTCATGCCGATACAAATACTGGGAAAAAATTGGGCAAGTTAGGTTGCAGCATCTGAGCACTAGAAATTGGGGTAATGAAGAATATCTGGGAGCTTCTTTGAAGAATTTACAACAATTCACAATTCCATGTTTGCTATTTGAGTTGCTCATCCCTCTATCTGAAGATTAGAGCAATTATGAGCAATAACTTGACTGATATCTAAACGCTAATCAGACTCTCATATACTCACGTATTTGCAGATAATGTTGGCAATCTTTGAGGTTAGAATACGCTTGAATTAGTAAGCTGCGTTGTGAATATGTAGCAACTGCAGTTTTTAAGGGGGGGGGAGAAACGACACTCGAAAGTTAAATAACTGGCTCTTTGACGGATTTGGTTGCATGTGCGCCGTTGAGTACGCTTACTCACTGCACTTACAATCCTTTACTTCAAGCACATTTGGATGGAATCTTTGAAGGGATTTTTGAAGGAATTCGATGTATGCTGAGTTGAGATAAGGGCTTGACGCCCAAGTGCAAGCGATGCACCAGGTCGCCTTCATCGTGTTTGGTAGTGGGCGGGTGCGTGTCCTCAAGTACTTGCACTTATGTCAGGAAATTCTCTTTGTGTGCAAGGAACAGCGAAAGGAGCAAGAGCCTTGTTTTCAAAAATCTAATCGGATGCGGGGGACACCTCGAAAGTGGAAACATCATTGCATACAATCGCAAGAAGAAGAAGAAACTGCAAAGTAATGAAAAGCATTGTTCACACATCAATCAGCGCGAAACACCGTAATTCTCTTTAAAATTCATCGATAGGAAGTACAACTAAACTATGGAATCAGCGCTTGTGGTCAAGAAGCCCTGATATTACCAAAAATGACGTTGCAGTACATGCGTAAGCATACATCTATACATCGTGTAACGGCAACTAGGGATTCAATAACTTGTCTTCATTTTCAGAGAGGTTTTAAATTATGTCGAAGCACACACCAGGAAGGCAGCATCCCGAGCTATTGTTTGCTTTTTTACTCTTCTCAACATTTCGCCGCCATCTCTGGCACAGACTCAAGTATGGCACCAGGGTTAAAGAGGATTCGTGAATGGATTCTCAGCACAGCTATCGATGATCCTAAGTCCAGCTCTACAATTGTAAGCTTTTTTATTCTACATCTTTTCAACGCACTCGTAGGCTTGAAATAGTATGACACCGATGAGAGGGGCAATTACCTCTGCAGAACGAGTCCATGGTTGACTCGGTCATCTCCGTTCTCGTGGCTATCATTCAACAAGGAGCACTTGCACCGAGAACATAAACCCAAGCTTGTTGCTTAAAATAGGAGTGGATAGGAGTGGATAGGAGAAGTGTACAAGTAGATCGGGGGTTTTCCCTAACTATATATACATCATCAGATGGCTGCTATTGACATCTTCTGTGGTGGCAGTTGGCATAGGAGTGCGACCGACTTCACTCTGCGATGGCTGCTATTCTCAGCACTCTTCACAACAATCAATCACCTCGCAAAACCAGGTATGACAACACATTAAAACAACTCTCACACAGACATGCAGATAATTCTCTCTTTTCTCACTCTTGTAAAATTAGATTGTAAATCAAAAAATAAATATATAACAAACAAACAAACAAAGCGGTGATTATTCGAGCTGCAAAGTCTTCAAAGCAAACCTATATTCTGTGCTTTTGTTGTGATATCTATAATCTCGGTGAAGTTACTGAATGAATGAGAGAATGTTACCATCAAAGGTAGTGCAAATCTCATGTAAAAGTGAAAACGGACACCACTTCTGAGAGGCTGTTTGTTTTTTTGGCAAATGTGGTCCTGAAGGGAATGTATGTGAAAGGTGTTGCTATCAAGTGGACATCAAAATTTCTGGATCAATGTGGGGAAATCAGGATAGTGGTGGCAAGTTTTGCAATGAAATAAAACCCTTTTTTTGCCATGCTGTTTCCATGACAGTTTGGGGATGTGCACTGTACTGACATTCAATAGGTTTGTATTACAATGGGAGTGATAACTATGTTTTTGGCATATTAAGGAAGAGTGTTAATACATTTTTGTTTATAAACTATGTATATATATATATATATATATATATATACGCATAAACCATTGGTTTTGCCAACATCAAGTATGTTTTTGGCAGCTGATCAAAAAAAATAAAAATAAAAACACAATATAATGTTCAGTGTCCCTTATTGCAATTATAACAAACAAAAAACAAAAAATGGTGCCATGTCAGCTATGTGAGACAAGTGCAAATCAAGTTCATTTGTGCCAACATCGCTTTTGTTGCCCCTAGTTGGGATTGGTACATCTAATCCTAGCTTGACCGGGCCCATTCCATCCCAGTAACTAGGTAACTTGGCAATAACTAGGTTATACCACTCTATTGCTTCAACCAATGGGATTTTTTGACACTCCAACCAAATGTAGATTGATCAATAATCATATATATATATATATATAAATGTATGTGTGTGTGTATTTTTAAGAAATATTTTACTAAAAATTAATAAATAGTACTTAAGCATTCATTTTTAAAAGTTACAATTTTAAAACTATAACTTTAAATTATTTTATTATAATATACCAAGTATAAGGTCATCATGTTTTTTATTTTATTTTATATGAAATAATACGATTAATTCCAATAAACACCACATTATTATAAGTAGCAAACTAACTCAAAACTCAAAACTCTATCACATTATTCTTGTTGAATTAAAATTAGTATATTTATGAACATTTATAATAAATATATTATTAGATGATATGTCTAAAGAAAAAAATAGTAGAGTAAAAATCCAAATATGCTCTTATTTTAAGTTAAATTTATTTCTAAGTAAAGATAAAGATAAAATTTGAATCCATATTTGAAGCTTAAGTTGACTGAAAAGATTCGAATATAATAACAAGATTACTCATTTTAACTATTTTATTATATAATATTAGTTAGATTATTTTAAAATAATAATATAACCCTTTTTTATAGCATTAAATACAAGTAGTTGTTATTTTTATGATTAGATTTTCTTTTTGTTCTTTGTCATTGAATTTTAAACAACTTAGACTAATAACAAATTTTTGGATCTAAAAAATAATCATTCAGCTACTTCTATCCTAATATTACTATTACAAAAAAAGTTAAACTTTTGAAAGTGTGTATTTCATCTTGACAATCTTTACAAAGCAATCAAATCTTATGTACTATTACAATAAAAATTATAAATATATATTTTTAATAATTAATATAATGATCCTATTATTTTAACAAAAAATAAGGTGTTTATTAATATTTATTTTACTTTATACAAGAAATAGGATTAAAAAGGGAAAGTTTATATACTACCAAATCCTTATGCACTACCAAAAAATATTAATATATATTTGATGATACAAAATTATAACATAAAATTATATGTTGAAGGTTATTGAATTATTTCAAAGACATTAATGACTAAAATAAACATATGTATTTATAAATAAAATTTTAATCAAAATTATTCATAATATTTTAAATTAAATTGATAATTATTATGCTCAAAATCTACTAATGTTATGGAATTAATTTTATTATATTTTAATCTATATATTATTATTATCTTATTTTTTATTTTACTTTGAATTATTTATATTTTATTGATTTCTAAATTTATATTTAAATTTAATATGTTTTAAATCAGAGAAGAAAAAAAACTATGTAAAATTATTTAAAAAATAAAAGAAGATTATAATAGATGATGTTTTACAAGCATCACCAAAATACAATATATAAATAAATATTTACAAGATTTAGCATTTAACTTATTTATTTAGATTTATTTTATTTATTTATTTATTTACTTATTTATTCTAAATTATACTACAATTAAATTAAATAAAAAAATTCTTAAATTAATTTTACCAATAATAACATATAAGTTATAATAAAATTCTAATATATTCAATTTTAATGCAAGTGCTTAAAATATGATGACACTTTTGTCAATATAAGATATAAAGAAAGTTGAATTTATCCCACTTGATAATTTTACCACAAGAAACAATTAACTAAACCAAAGTTGGTGAAAAAAATTGAGATAATTCTAAGATTTGAAGTAAACTATTTTTAATATATAATAATGCTTTATATTGAAACAGTAAACCTATTTTTATACTTTTTGAAATTTGTATTACATATCTCTTTTATTGATTATTTTACAATGTATATACTTATTATTAAAATAATAATTACTATTATTTTTATTTTAAAAAATATGTGTTTCTAAAATTTATATTTCATATAATCTTGTTTCAATCCTATTATCTTAGTTGAAATGTTTATATGGAAATGTACTTATTCTTTAAAAAAATCCTATCAAACAAATTGATTCATATTTATTATAATTAGTGTTACTAATCTTATAGAAGTCAATTACAAGTATATTTCTTTTGACACAAAGAACATAGATTAACTTATTTAGCTTAAATCACTAAATAAGCATCAATTTCATCTTAGTCCAAAGTTTTACTTATTTTTATAAAATTTAGTACTAATCTAATTATCTCTATAATTTGTTTTAGAATTTTTTTCGTAATATATAAAATGTATTATTAAAGGAAAAAATATAAAAATCTATTGTTATTTGTTGTTAGTATTTTTTACCTTCAATGAATTTGCTACAATAAATGTTGTAATTTTCTTTTAGAAATAATTGCAATAAATTATTTCAATTATTTCAAATTATTTCAATTATTTTATTGCAATTACAACTTAATTGAAATAAATTATTAAATATTTTTATTAGTATTTTATCACCTAACAGCAATGAATGTAGCTTTTGTTTAATAATTCATATATATATATATATATATCATTTTAAAACACATATTAAATTAATTTGATAAATTAAGATGGTCTAAGGTCAAAGTGAAAAATCATGTCCTTAGTTTTGACATGCCAAAAGTGAAAACAGAAAATAATCCCAATCATTTTTTAACTTTAGAAAAGTAGAACCAAACATCACTTCAATCATGTGTAAATTGAAGGTGAATATCTTGTAATTATATAAATGTAATGAAAGGTAAATTCTGTTTAACAAGTCTCTAATACATGATATAAAACGTATATTAAACGTAGACTTCAAATGAACGAATAAAAAACTCAATACAAGCAAATTTCTACAAGAAGAAAACTAATGAGAAATCACACTTTTTTACGCTTGCAAGCGACACAACACACAATTTTCCTCAAGAATGTCACGCAATCTCATTGAACAACAAGCCAAAAATAAATATATTTAGGGTGAGAGACAACTTGAGAGCAGTTCCCATGCACACGACGGAGATGACAAGCAGCACCCACACTAATTGAGGAGTTATTCGTCGAGAACAGTACAAGCAAGAGACAATTTAACACGAGTTACTTACTACACGCCGACCAGTGGGATGTACAGACAGGCGGTCGTGGAGACCCAAATATAGAAAATAGTAAAATCAAATAGTGTGGGTGAATTGGTTTGCGTGTTTAGCGTTCAAACGAGGGCCACCCGTTCAAGGAAGGTTGGGCCATAACCGTGCCCCCCCCTCCTCCCCCTTATTCGGTACCGCGCACTGTGGTCCGGTGGAACCCGCGGTGGTCTCGACGTCTACTTGCATTTGTTTTGTTGGTGGCTTTCGGGATTTGGCTTTCCATTTGCTTCGTTTCGATCGTTGGTGAATTGTGTCAGGGGTTGAATGGCACGTCACTGCCTGTGGGAGGAAATATTAAATGATTGTTGTATGCAGTAGTTTTTCTTTCTTTTGCCTTAATCGTCCCATTAATGTGGAGGAGCAGCAAATAGGGAGAAACTTGTGGAGAAAGGGATCTGGCGAGGAGCGCAAATCAAAGCTAGATGCCAGGGAAGAAAAGGTTGTTGGTCACAGGGGCGAGGGGAGGGGGAAAAGCAACAGGGAAGGCGAATGTGAAGGGCATGGGAGTAGGAAAGAGTTAGAAGGTACTAAGAGAGACGTGGAGAAAGTTTTGAGGTTGAGGAGATGCTTGGATGGATTTTTATTACTGAGTCAGAGTGGAAGTGGGAGAGGAAACGGAGTGAGGGAAGTGTGTCGCTTGTGAGACGGACTTCGGTCACTGCATGCGGACTGTTGTCAAGTCGCTGAGGAAGTGTGGGCGTTATTAAAGGGGAGAAGGGAAAAGGCAGGGAAGGGAAACGAAGGAGAGGAGGGATGGGAGAAGGAAAAACTCAGAGGTAGTGAGGAGAAGGATGATGGAAAGAGAACGTAGCCTTTTGCTTCAACTTTGCGGAGTCTGCAACCACGCTGCAGCAGCCGTCGCATTTGTGCTTGTTGCTCCCTCAAGGTTTCGCAATCTGTTGATATAAACGTCGGCCTCTCAGTTCCCACTTCCCGGCTGTTGCGTTGATCAGGATCTTTTTGGTTTAGCGCCAGTCATTGGTTTGGAAGCTGGTGTATGTTGGGCGGCAGAGGGTTGCGTGATTCCCCACATGTTTCGCGAAGAGCAGTGTGTTTGATGATTGGAGTGTGAACTTCGCAAGAAGAGGATCGAAGCCTTAGATGCAGGTTTTGCGTTTGGAGTAAGGGGCGGGCATGAGAAGCTGGATAGGTTTTATTATTTGTAGTGGAATTAGAGTGAAATAAGAACAGAGTGAAGTGTCTGAGTGTTGCGAAGCGTGAAAGAGTGGAGCTGGAAAGTGAGGAAAAATGAGAGGACCGTCCCTCTTCGGCTGCTTGCCAGTCTTGACGCCACACTGTTTGCTTCAGACATTCATGAAGAACAGCAATGCCATCGGTATTACCTCAGAACCAGAGGTTCTTCCTCCTCCTCCCCCGTCGGAGGAAGTATTTCCATCTGAGGTAAGCTGTTCTGCCTTATTTGCTGCCCAACTATAAATACTCCACTCCGACCTGTGTTCTTGTTCTTCGCCTTTCCGCCCTTTTACGCGTTCATCTTGTTGTTTGAAGCTTCTCTTTGAAAGAAACTTTTACTTATGGCTACACATCATTTCGAACACATTAATAATTGAGCAAATATCTCTCTGGTTTATAGTTCTGTTTTGTACTATCCATCGCTACGATGGAAACCTTGAAGATAGACGTCTATGAGAGACACTTTGTGGGATTGGTGTGAGCAAGTTATTTTAATGAACACTTGAAATCACTGTTTTATCGATTAATCACATCGAACTTGTTCATGAAGAGCACGAATGTGGTGGTTGGTATTATTGTCCTGGATTTGTATGCTCCGATGAGATGCTATGCCCTGCTAATGTGAGCTACACTGAATGTTTGAGTGCAGGATGAGGAATCCACGTCGTCTGTGATGGAGCCTGTTGCTCTACAGCGTGGTCTCACGCTTCTCAAGGTATTTGCCACTGTACGAATTACTTGATTTGAAAAATTTCCTAGACACTACGCCATTTCACATTCAAAGAAGAGTAAAATTTACGTAGCCGTTGACGAATTGCAAAAGCAGCTCATAAATCTCATGTTACGTTTGGTTATTTTCTTTTTGGTGGCAGAGGCGGGTGAACAGTCAGAGCATTTTCAATTTGCCCTACTCGGACTTGATGCTTGGGAAATATGAAGGTATCGTTTGTAATGAATGTCTCATTTCTGGAAATACTGCTCTTGAATGTAGTGTGATCATAATTCTTTCCTGTGATGCTTCCAGACATTAATGTTGTAGATTTATAAATGCTGTATGACACTAGCTTCGACGATATCAAGGTGATGTGTAACGTAATGTCTGGTACAGGAGGGTACAAACTCTGGGATTGTTCCGTTGATCTAGTAGAAACGCTGCGTCGAGAAATCCAAGATGGTCAGCTCTCATTTCGTGGCAAGCGTGTGCTTGAGGTACTCTTCTGACAAGTTTAGTCAGATTTAATAGGCTTGACTTGTAGTTGAATTTTTGGAAAGGATTTTATTCGAAGTGCATTGGTTACCTTGTTGTGATATTGAGACCGACACTCTTGCTGCGTTTACGATGTCAGTTCTGATGGTCTTCTTGTGTGCTTTCTGTACAGCTTGGTTGTGGACATGGTCTACCCGGAATTTTTGCCTGCTTAAAGGTGAGATAAAACACGTCAGTAGTTAAATCCGTCTGGTGTTTAAAAGTTGTGCTAGTGTGTGGGACTACCTATCACGTTTCATGATCTTGTCCTGGACTGGGAGGGAATGATTGGTGGCAAAATGTTCTGTTTGACCTAGATGCTTATGCCAAACCTCAAGTTCGCATTAGACAGTGATGAAAATGTTTCAGTGATAGAATTCAAGTTTTCTTTTTGTCAACTTAATTATCTTAAACTTAAGGTTTCTGTTATGTTGGGGGGCAAGTCATACTGAGCGCTGGCGCTACGTCTGTTGCGTGCAACAGGGTGCATCTAGTGTCCATTTCCAGGACTTTAATGCTGAAGTATTGAGAAATGTTACTACAAAAAATGTGCAAGCCAACCTGGATCAAGCACGAAAGGGTCTCATAAGAGTAAACTCGGTCAGTTCTGGTCTTGTAAGAGTAAACTCTGGCCTTTTAAGAGCGAACTCCATCGGTTCCAATGCCGAAATGGCCACATCACACAAGGGTCTAATTGCAGAGCCTGATGTTCATTACTATGCTGGGGATTGGTCAGATGTGCACAATGTTCTGTCGGCAGTGCGGGTTTCACCTGGAACTACTGACATCGGGGATGAAGGAGCCTTCAACTTCATGTTCACTGAAAGTGAATTATATGAGCCTGTGCAAGAGACTGAAATCAGAAGTGGTGGTCTTACTCGCACTGGCTCTCGAAATCGGCTTGCCAGAAAGCTGTCCGGAAGTCAGGCTTGCGACAGAGGGCACACCAACACTACTCAAGAAGGTGGTTATGACATTATTCTGATGTCTGAGACTGTCTACTCATTAACGTCACTTCCCAAGCTCTATGAACTTATTAAAAAGGTAAATCCTTGGTTTATTATGTATCACAAATGGTTGCGTTCCTGATGTTCTGATTGCAGTTGATTTGGAATGCCGTCACCTGCAGTAATTCTTCTAAATGAAGTATCAATAAATTAAAATCATCTTCTGCCTGCAGTGTACACGTCCTCCTTATGGAGTTGTGTATTTAGCGGCTAAAAAACACTATGTTGGAGTTGGAGGTGGGACTCGACAATTTAAGCGTCTAGTTGAGGAGGACGAGTATGGTACGTATTTGGGAACTTGGAAATCCAGCATTTGTTGTTTCAACTATTAGGTCAGTGGACCACATTATGCACACGGTAAAACGATATTAAGACAGCTTGATTGATTCTTTTCGAGTAGTTGCGTGTTGTGCATCTTCGAATTTCTGTTTGTGACATCGCTTAACAATCACAAACATGATATACCACCACTAAGTTTCATGGCAATTAAATTCATGTGTGCACAGAGCTATATTTAATTAAAGTAGACATTTTAGTTGCACTTGTAATGAGTTGATTGGTTGTCTCTCTTCAATCCTTATGCAGGACCTATGGCAGCACATCTTGTTGCTGATTTTGCGGACAATTCCTCGAATGTTCGAGAAGTATGGAAATTCTTCTTCAGGTGACTTAACAATTTCAAGAAGTACGTGATATGCTTACATTATGCAGGGAGCAAATTAAAGGAGGTGGAGGTTTATTGAAACTGTTGAGGACTCATTATGTTTTATCGTTGGACTGTTGCGCATCAGTTATGAAGTCCATTGCTGCCAGTGGCTACAATTTTGGAAGTAATTACTTTGGTAGAATTGTATAGTTGCCTATATAGTCCATTCCTCTTCCTTAAAGGGATGTACTTGAAGGTTCACGTTTTAGAGCAACAAGATTGTCGAAATTCACAGCCCATGGAAATATTGCGGATGTCATTATCCCAGAACTCACCAGCGTCTTCCATTTCTTTATCAATCGAGGTTTACCAGCCGAGTGCATGTCCTAAGTCTTAGCAATAAAGGCAGTAACATACCTGCAGTCTGGTTGCGAGTAGGTTAAGGTGCAAATGTCATCAAAACTCGTTGATCAGTGTTTGTCTTTCAGCAGTTCTAGGTGTTGTCTTCAGAGAATCGTATTAGTCGGCAGCCTAGTGCAACTGTTCTCGACAAATTATTTCTTCACCATTCTTTCAGTTCACGCATCATGAGCCATCATGAGAAAAATGCTTTTGAAATCAGCAGTTTACTGCCAATAAGTCTTCATTCCTAGTTATTGTCTGAACTTGAGTGAAAAGTAGTGGAAAGCATGGACAGGAAACGAGATATTCGTTCTTCAGATGCTTGTTTCTGTTCATTACATACTGTAAAGTAGCAGATTTCTTAATAGTTCGATAATCTATATTTCCTTGCATCAACCTTCAATCAGGAATAAAAAGATCATAGCAATAATTCTTCTGTTCTCAACGTCCCCGTTCAACTTTCTTTCTTTGTTCAACAACATTATTTTGTACCCACCATGTCAAAATTATTATAGGGTGAACTCCATTAACCTTGCATGGAGTTGCCTGAGCTGCATCTCAGTTTTATTTTTGTGTTGAAGGTAGCTTAAACCTTTATGGCCAATAGGAAAGTCTTCCTGAGGCACATGTTCAGAATGATGGACTGTGACTCACAATTTCTTGAGGAATGTCCAGTGAATTGGTCACTTGTTGAAAAGGCACATACATACATGTGGTTGGAGCTTTGAATGAAGATTTTGCACCAGAAGGGTCTCAATAAATATAGAAAAAAAAAATGCATTTTTTATTTCTAAAAAATGTTCCCAACAATGACACTCTGGCATGTTTAGGTGTCCTATGTTCTACTTTGTGGGAAGCAGCTCTGACCCATATATGCCATACATAAATGTGCAGAGGTAACTGACAAAAAACAGAAAAACAGAAAAGAGAAAAGAAAAACAACATAGGACATGGACAAAATGCAATGTCATCTTCTAGTTCTCAGTTCTGACATGGGACTACCACCAGGATTGTTTATTTCTTTATGGCATATTTTGCATGAGCTAGAACATGCATGCATTTGCAGGGTGTATGAATCTGCCTTGTGTTGTTGGGTCCCTAAGGGTTGAGAATTTGTCACTGGTCCAGAACCATTTCACTTCAACTTGATGCAAAGCACTTCCCTTTTGGGTTCACTTTGAGCATTTTTCCACACCTAACATGCAATTTGTTTGTGCCAATCTGCCCTTGAAGTCCTTAAATTATATGGTAGTTTACTGTAACCCACACCTTCCATGCTGACCTAATTTGCAGCAACAAATTCATCTCACTAATGTTTGATTGCCCATTTGTTCTTATTACACAATATGCCTATTGCCTCTCCTCTCACAACTTAAGCTTCACATTCAATCATGTAATCACCTTCAATTACATTGAATTGCATAAAAAGAATGAGTTCTATGAACTCTCTATATCATTAATTGCTATAAATATTGATGTAGCAACAAATATTGATTCTCCATCCTTGCTATAAATTGACTAAATCTACAACATGCAACACGTTTGAACTTGAAAAATTAATTTGTTAAAATAAATTAGAATGAAATTTTGCTCTTATTATGCAATACACTTGTTGACCTTCCTCTCTCACAACTCGCACCTCACATTCAATTGCACATTCACCTTCAATCACATTTAGTCATAGGAAAAAGAAATGAGCCTTGTAAACTCCTTGTGTCATTGATTGCTAAGATAATATAATATTGTTAATAATAATCAATGTCATTAATATAATATCATTCATTATAATGTTGTTGATGGCAATGTAGACAAAGTTTCACCTTGTTTAAAGCATCATTTAAAGTGTAATAAAATGAATTAATGATAGACAATTCAATCTACCATGTTTGCATTGGAATTTGATTTGAACCATAATGGTTTCAAAATAAAATTTTGCATGACTCAAGATAGTGTTTCTAGCTCTATCATATGAGAGAATGTACAATTAATAGTTGCAACAGATAACCTCCACATTCATGTTGAACATCCACCTCACTCTAGATTCTTCTTACTCGTATATTTTCTTTACCTTGCATCCAAATATAATATCAAAAATAAGTAATCATTTGGCATACTCAACCAATTTTTAACACCATTGAGCTGGAAACAATGTAGTACACAACACCCTATGTGTTGGGCCAAGCTTCATTGCCATTTATGTTCTCATTGACATAATTAAAGCTCAAAGTCAAACGTGCACTTGGCAAAATCTCATAGCTTACGCCTCCCCTCATGTGTTTGATTGCTTGCTTTTCTCTGAATTATTGAACTTCACCTTCAATTGCAATCACTTATATAAAAAAAATTGCAGCTTCAATTGTATTTTCAATTGTATTTAGTCATAGAACTGCAGAAGAAAAATAAATAAATAAATAAATAAAAATGAGCCATGTAAACTCCCTATGAATTCCATGTGAACTTTGGGGGGTCGTGGTTCACATGAAGCTGTGTGCGGACTTTCTGAGCAATGCGGAAGAGAATCGTATCTGGACCTGCAATCGAAGAGTAACAAGGAGCTGAAGCAGGCTGGAAAGAAGCTGCTGATGATGCGTACCATTGTACAATGACGACTGAGACAATTGTTCATGAGATGCTATGTGGTGATTTCTCTGAGTTTAGAACACTTTCAACGAGTGCGTGGCAAGGTTTTGCTTATTTGTGATTACTACATTGGCTCCAAAATGGACGTACAATTCCACTTTAGGCTAACAAAAGGCCTTGCCGTCTTTACAGACGCCTTGAGTTGACTGAACTGTCTTTGGATTGCTAAAAAAATCATACAGATTCTACTTCGGTATCACACTTTGACTATGAGCATTGCTGTTACAAGGTTCAATTATTTCTGGCAAGGTTCTGTTCACAAAAAAATTGAGTCTAAAGAAAGGGTTACTTCCTTGCAGACACAAAACAGCCCCCACAAAAAACCTTCTGGTAATGTAATACTAGACTGGAGACCAGAACGACGTAAGAATTTAGTGGCAACATCAAAATCTTTGTACTGTTACTGGGCAACAGAGTTCCCAGTGTTTCAGATGTTAGAAACCTACACTATAAAGACTCAGAAATCCTCTCGGAAACCTACTCTGAAAACATAGATCAAGTTGCCATGCCATCTACTAAAACACACGGTATGGGACATACTACTCAAAAAGAACAAAAAAAGAAAAACCCACGGTAACCAACACAATTCAAACGATGCAAAACAACAGAAGACTTAAATCCTCGCCAAAAAACAACATGGGATGATGCCATCAAAGAAGGTTTCAGAATGTTAATAGCATCAAAAGCCCCACAGACGTTGAGATCGATGCCGATCTAATCTGCAACCTTGAAAGATCACTCGTCAAATTTCTCCTAATCTGATGACAACAGGACCTGATTTAAGCACACGGTCAGTTACATCGATCCATATCCAGGACTAAGAAATTTGAAAAGCTTCTATAGAAACTTCATTCTGCGGCTATAACCTCATCACATCAGCATTCCATTCAAGCGATACAAAAACTTGCCCTGAAACTCCTAGGTATTAAAATACCATCTTATGATTACAAATGAATTTAACTAAACAACAATCACTGAAAGGATATCTGTGGTTGAATGAACAGTAAAGAATTTGATGGTATATAAACATTTGAGACTGGTATTAACTGTAGGCATGTGTAGGAAAAGTACATGCATTTATCGACTAAGGTAAAAACGACTCAGCCTTTCAAGGAACATATTCAAAAGGCTCAGGGGGAGGAGGTTCATTATCCTCCACAGCTATAGCTGTGGCATTGGTATTAGCATGCGCTGTTCCTGCACCACCTGCAGACAAAGGCGTGTCTGTGGATACCAGCTCTACTGGTTCCGAAGGTGTCAAATCTCTCAACATCACAAAGCCCGAAGGAGCTCGCTTCAACTTCAAAGGTGCATATCTTGAGTCTTCTCTGAACTTGATGAATTTCTCTTGCGCAGGCACCACACGTGCAGGGTTGCTCAAAACTTCTGACGAGGGCTCTACAACGACAGCCTTCTTCTGTGTTCCACCATCTACATCCATTGCATTCTCGTCTTTGGCTGCATGAGTAGAATCTTTATCACCATCCACCAGCCCTTCAGCTTTGGAGGAAGACGAACCTGCACCAGCTTCATGACCGGTAGCCTTGCTGGCTTTAGCTTCTGCTTCCCTCTTCGCACCTCTGACTTTGGCTCGGTTGGAAGTGGAAAGGACAGCAGTCGGCAGCTTCACAGCAGAGGTGGCAGCAGGAGGAGCCACAGAGGGAGGATATCCGAAAAGGGATGGCTTAGTTTCAGAAACAAAGTTGAACTTCGGCATTCTTAGTTCTTCATTCAAACCTATGAAAGCTGTAGGGGCGAACGACAAACTGATGAAGTAAATCAGTGGATACCAGTACCAAAACTGGCTAAAAACGGCCATTCCCACAACAGCAGTCACACGGTCATGCCCTGTACGAGACTGCAACATGATAGCAACATTCCGACCTCCTGCATCTAAAATTCCCTGCGCAAGGATAGCTCCCATCTTGCTCATGGTCTCTTCATGCTTGTCATTGATAATTTTCTCAAGTTGTCTCCTGAAAGTAGCCACGCGTGGCTCTCGTGCCTCCGTCGTTTGAAGAAGAACCATAGCCATAGCTATGAGCGCACCCTGACGAACAAAATCTACTGCATCGGATGTAAGAGGCTCCAACAAGGAGATAGCTTCACTAGAACCTGAACCAGCGCATGAAATACCTACAGCCATTGCTGCCCCATACCTTACATGCGCATTGTAAGACTCCGAGAGCAAAGATACAATTCGAGGAGTCTGTTCAGGTTCTGAACAGAGAACAAACCCTAACGCCAAAACTGCGGTCCTCCTTACGTCGTCACTAACATCCGAGACCGCAAAATGCAGTAACCGCCGGATCGCACTGTTATTAGCAGTGCCGCGATACGCCATGGCCAGGGCATACATACCACCATAACGCAAAATAGGATCCTGGTCCCTGGTCATTTGCTCGATTAGTGTGTCTGCCTCCTCTTCGCGTCCATACACAACCAGTGCAATACCGAGAGCCAAACCACGAATAATCTTCTCGTGCTGTGTATCATGTGCATACGCCAACATTTCTGTTGCTTTTTCACTGGCTGTACCAACCATCAGCAACCCCATGGCTATACCAGCTGCTTCCCCTGCTACAGCACTATCGGTATAAAGGACATTTTTCACATCTTCATAGATTTCCTCATCAGCTGTGCCAAGAGCTGCTAGGCCTAACCCCAAGCAAGCTCCGTGTTGAATTACTTCATTACTTGTATTTCGCAAACTTTCCAACAGAAACTGTTTGATACCCTCACCGTGATTAGCATGGATCAACCCTAGAGCATACAAAGCTCCTCCCTCAGAATAAGGACTTCCACCACCAGTTCCTCCATTCTGTGGTAGGTAAGGGGCCATCAAGGATCTTCCTTGTTGATGGTGACCCCGATGAATAACACCTAGTCCAGCTGTGGCACTAAACTTTGCCCAATTTGTAGCTCTCTTCAGCCAGTCTAAGTTCTCTCGCAAGAAAGTATCAACCGTGGTACCCGCATGCATGAGGGCATTAGAATAAATAGTTGCACTGTGGCAAACGCTATTCCGCATCTCCACAGACTGTTTAATGGTCTTCAGTATCAAAAGATCTGACCTATTGTGACTATAAAGAAACTGCAAAGTCAAACTAATAGGAGTCTCTCCGGACAAGATACCTTTCAATTTCGTTAACCTCTCGGTATACGATGTCCTTTCTTCTACCGGTGGTGCTGAAACATCAGCAGATTCCTCTGCTGCATAACTTCCCAACAATGGCTCCGTCAGATCAGAGTCCATGGCCGTAGGACCACCATCCGTCATGGCACTGATTCCATTTCCACGGGTTCCCTGGATTAACCCTCCATTCGTAACGCTCAGTGGGGCGGAGCTAGAAGCACTCGTTGATTCAGGCAAAAGGTCCCTTACATTCAAAAGAAATTTCTGATACTCATTTTCAAATAAGTCGAAGGCTATCTGGTACGCCAATAATGCTTCGCTTTTATCCCCTTTCAAAAGCTTGTCCAAAATAGCAGCAACATCAGCTGGCTCATCCAAGAACATAAGGCACTGACATATGCTTAAATAGTCAGGCTGCTGAAGCCCTTGATAGCTTTTAACCAAAAGTCGCAAAACTTCATGTCGAAATTCACGCCTACTTACAAATGTCTGAGACAAACGAAGGCAGTACGAGAGCATGGCAGAAGCGTTCTCACTCCTAATAATCGATTCTTCTAGCTTATCAAGTCGCCTGCACTCCAACGCAACCCCAACAGCCTGCTGAAATTTACCATCCTGCATACACTTATCCAGCATCCGCTCGACAATCGCGACCAACCGGGGATCTAAGGCAGTCTTTTCCGACTCATTCGATTCGGCCGCCTTCACGCTAAGCAATATATACTCATCCACACATTTGGTCACGAGCGTCTGCACATACTCCGTGTCCTCCGACACATCGAACAGCGGTCCAGCCCCCAAAGCATACGTGAGCGAGTCATTGAGCTCTCCTAAGTAGTAGAACACCTTGGACGCCACCAACGCGGCCAACTGACGCTCGTAAAACGTATCGTCCTCATACAAAGACTCAATCGCCGAGATGTTGGTTGATATCTCCGGCCAAAAATTGTCCACCAGCACATTCAGATTCTTGAGCGCATGCAACTTCAGCGTGGGATGCGACTCCTGCAGCATGGCCAGCAGGCCGCTCGCCGTGCTCACCACCGTCATGATGGTACCGAGAACTCCTCCACCACCACTTCTTTTACGTTGTGTTTCTTCCTCACCCCTTGCAACCCTTCCTCCGTCCTATCGAACAAACACGATGCGCAGAGCAAAAACACCCCTCCGAATGATCGCATACAACCCTCCCACCACCACCAGCAATAATAACATAACACGGCTCCTCCGAGAATTGGAAGAGAAAATAAGTGAAGTGATGGACAAGGAAACAACACCAGAGCGCTCTTCCACAAGGTTTGCGATCCTGGGATGCGAGACCTGACTTCTCTAAACCCTAACTTATTAAGGTTCCAAAGCTTGTTACGAAGCCACGACACAGTCGGTCCCCGTCTCCGTCCTCAAAGTACTGCGCCGAGATATGCAGTTCAACAGCTTCTGTTCAAACCTTCGCGTACCTTTTCCTGTCGTTTCGCTTTTCCTCCGGAAAAAGTAACTTCGAAACTCTGAAAGATAGCGTAGAGTTGATTCTACGTTGTTAATAACTCATGAGACATACCAATTTACACATTGCAATCACACAGCCAGTTTTTTTTTTTTTTTTTTTTTAATTTTTAGTGATTTTTTTGGTAATTAGCTCGAAAAAATATATTGAAAATAAAGTACTTCAAACGTAAAAACAAAAAGATTTAAACAGATTTTAAGAATTTGGAGATAGATACTTTGGTAATGTAAATTGCCAAAGTATCTTTGAGGTTTAAAATTTTGATCATAAAAAATATTTTTGAATAACACTTTCTTTTCATGAGAAAAACATTTTGAATGTTTTACTAAACAATTTTTTTTGTACTTTTTGAGCATACAGATATGTATATATCTGTATATCTTCCTTTTTAATGTACATCTTTATTTATTTATTTACTAAGCCTCTTAAAATTTACAATACTTTTTTAATCTATTTAACAAATAAGAGAATATTGTTATATATTATTCTAATAAAAATTTAAAATACATATATTATTCAAATATCTCACAAAACATATATATATATATATATATATATTGTTGCTAATGTCACAACAATTTTTTCTATTATCACCACAACTTACCATCCATCACATGTCATCACATTTTTATTTTATTTATTTATTTTTTATTATTTTTGATTGTGGTACAAATTGCCCTAAACTTAAGTTGTACACCATAATACACTTTAAGGAGCACTAAAATGCACATCTATAAAAAATGTGCATTACATCCATTGTGATGTGCCATGCAAGTTTAAAGCAACTTGTGGTGGTGGCATTAGCAAGAACTATGATAACATGTAGGAAATGACATACTATGGTGATAGTAGCAAGAAATATGGTGACAATAATAACATACTATATATAGGTATATATAATTTTAAAACCAAATATTACATAAATAATTATTTCTTGTGTTCAAAAGTTTTTATTGTAAAAGTTTTAATATATATATATATATAACCTTATGCATTGCAAGTATTCTTTCATTTTTTAATTTTTGTATCATTCTACTAGTATTTATTTATTTTTCTGCAATCTATGTTTTGTGTTGATTAATTATAGTTTGATCCTTTGGCTTGAAATTGTTAATTTTTTGTAATAATAAAATTTATTTTCATTATTTAACTACAAAAAATACTTAGCATTATAAACTAACAAATTAAAGTCTAACTTTGTCATTGTATGCTATATACAGTTAATCAATTTACAACATATCTAAATTTAATGAGTTTATGGATGATCAAATTGGTTTTTTTCCTCTAATTTTTTTTTTTTTTTTTTTTTTTTTTTTTTCTTTTGTTTTTGCATCTAATCTTGATCTCCTAAATTATAATTTCAAAACCCCATTTTTTTTTGTCGGCTGTTAAACTGAAAACCTTTACAAGTTGCTTTATAACTTTGTAAGTATTAAGGATAAATTCTAAATGTCTATAAACTAAAAAAATTTAAGCAAGATATATGGGTCCGTCCACACAAACATATACTTTTTTTTGTTAGATTGACATTACAAAATGTATTTGTTTTTGTAATTCAATATTATAATAATATAGAAATTTCCAGTAATTTTGTTTGCATGAAACATAATATTGTATATTCTGTTATTTACAGAACATAAACTAATATGCCACAAAATATAATAATTTATATTTTACAACAAACTTTTATCAATCAAATGTATGTATCCTAACTTTGGAAAAAGAAGAAATTAAAACATTGTTTGTAAATCACTCATAGAGTTAATTTTTTTAACACCCAAGAATTACAGTATTTTAAGTCGAGTATTCAAATAGTTTTGATAAAAAAATTGAACTCAAAAGAAAATTCATATAATATGTAACCTACGATGTTGAATTATATTTTATAATATACCCAGTATACAAACAGTTACTGCCTAAATGTTCGTAGTCTTAAAATTCAAAATCTCAAACAAAGATGTTGCAATTTTTTTATTATATAATTTTCATATTTCTGTTGTTCAGTGTATGTATATACATATAGTTGTCATCATTCATTACATGTGCAATCTTGTAAATGCTAAATATATACGAGTTAGTTATATTACATACTATGGATTGTTGAATGTGACACACAATCACATGGCTCATCCTTATTATCCATTGCCAAACTTAGCTAAGTTTAGACACAGGTTTCTGATTATATATAAAATCTACTCACTTGTATTATTATTTATTGTCATATAATTACCCTTTTATACAAATTCATTTGTTTTACTATATCAATGTCACAAAAATGTGAACAAATTTCATTTATTGCATGGCTTTTATTAACATTAAAAAATGTTTTGTATGCTCTTCTACTAAAATATTCGATTTAACTGAATCAATCTTAAAAAGTTTATTTCAGTATAAATATTTTGAGAGCATACTTGATATATTAATCAAAATTGATTAAAATCTTTCTAAAACATGTGTTTTATTTATTTTTATTTTTTTGTCACAGTAGTAATTGAAAATTTTAAGATGTATGCAGTGTTTTTGAGACAATGTTCATTGGCTACACTAAAGTGTTTTTAATTGCTTCAAAATAATAATCGTATCTACTTACTTTTGATTATTCAAAATGATTAATTTATATTCATTTTTTTGTTGCAAAAATGGAAATAAATGCCTTGTTTATGTCATTCTCACAAAATATCAAAGAAACATGATCAATAGTTTTGAACCTTGAAAAAATTCCAATGCCTTTGTGGTTCAACAAATACTTTGAAAACTTATTATTTGTAATTTTGATTCTTAATAATGTGGTGGTCAATGTTACAATGCCACTGTGTTTTCATTCAGTTATAATTCTGTTCATTATATTATTGAAATACATAATGCTGGTGTGGAATAAAGAAAAGAAAGTAAAAGTAAAGCACCATTTATAAACTTCGAACTTACTGTGCCGTTAAAGTTCACGGACTCTCTGGAGTCTGAGCTTGGGCCGGGCCGGGTACAGGGGGGTCACAGGGACCCGACCTCAACGCTCGAAATTCTCCAAGCAAACCTCGGCAAAGCTTCGTTCGGGCACTGGCAGCTGCCGTTGGCACTAAATGGAGTGCCGCTAATCGTGATTTTACCATGCAATACCGCACTGATTTGTTCCCGATTCAGTTTGAATGATCCTTGCTGCAATTTGATCTACCTCCGCATGAAATGTCAATTAATTATGTAGTTTATTTTGGTTTCTTTTACGGCTTTTTTGGGGGCAATTTTTAGGTTTCGGAGTGCAGAGTTCTGAGAGAGTTTGTTGCGACTGAGAGGGCTGATTCTAGGGCCCTGATACATCACCTCCGAGAGAGGGCGATGGGGAGAGAGGTGGAGGAGGGCGGAGGAAGGCCTGAGGCGGAGCGGTACGATCCTGCTGCCCCTCGAGAGCAATTCCGACGATACCGAAGGCGAAGGTCCAAGGATCCTCCAGCGATTGTTGGCGGTTCCCCGTCTCTGGCAGGTGCTAGTGAGGGTTTAGGTACTCCCTCCCTTTCGCTTCGCGACATGCGGGACTCATTTGTGGCTATGTCGCCACCTTCGGTTTCCCGACAGTCGTGGATGCATTCGTCTTTTCCGGGTGAGTATCGGACTCCCGTAGCGTCTGGTGCACGAGGTTTGCGAGATCCTCGAGCTGAGTTGTTGAGTAGTCCCATGAGTTTTGATGATGACGAGGAGCAGCCACATTGGATGGGGGGATATGGAGACGAAGGAGAAGACGAGGATGAGAGAATGGAGCTCAAGCCTCCGGTGTTGAGCAAAACCCCGGTGGTTTTACGAAAAGTGAAGCCGGAGCCAGGTCTCGGAGAGGAGATGCCGGATAGCGCAGAACAGAGTTATGGGAGATTTGCATTAATGACAAATGCAGCATTGCAAGATGAGATTTCCTTGCCAGATTTTTTGGAGCAATGCGAAGTTTTATGCCATGACCTAGCGCAAGTGGTGAGGGAGGAGGCATCAGAAGGCCATCGGGTGACTGAAGAGAGGTTAATGAGGCAAACTGCCCAAATGCTTCACGCAGAGTCTGGAACGTGGTCTCTTCTGTGGTATTTGTTTGGGAAGGAAGCCCAGGAGATGTACTCGGACGACCCTTTGGTGTATCCGGCCACTTCAACTCAAGAGGCTGTGCAATTCATCATGTCAGAACCGTTCGTGCAGCAGTGTATGCGCATTGTGCAGTGGTTGGAAAGTATGGCTTCGAAGGATCTTGATTATCAGAAGAAACATAAGGGTTGGTATGCAGGATCCTACATGCAGAAATTAGGCGTATGGCATCAGACGCAGCGAGAGATACGGAAACGTGCCGGACAGGCCACTTTGGTTCGAAATGTGGATCCTGATGCCCCTACACGAGAACATGCACGCCTCCATCCAGAGGATCAAAAATTGGAAGAGGACTTGATGGAGGATGTGTGGAAACTCCTACGGGCAGGAAGACTGGGAGAAGCCAGGGAGTTATGTCGCAGTGCGGGCCAGCCATGGAGAGCAGCTAGTCTTGGTGGCTGTGGGGAGCTGGGATCGTCCCCCTCTGTAGAGGCCTTTTGTAACGCTGGCAAGGACAGAGCGTTGCAAGCTCTTGAGCTAGAAAGTGGGATTGGGCATCAACGGCGGCTATGGAAATGGGCTTGTTACATTGCGTCAGAAAAAATAGGGGATAGGGGCGATGAAGCGAAGCATGAAGCTGCTGTCTATGCGTCACAATGTGGTAATGTGAGGCGAATGCTACCTGTTTGTATGGACTGGGAATCGGCGTGCTGGGCAATGGCACGGTCGTGGCTGGATACGCAAGTGGACGCCGAGCTTTCACAGCGGCATCCTCCTAAAGTTCCGAAACGGAGAACAACTGGTGCTGTTGTTAGAACTTCAGCTAAGTCAGGGGGAAGCGATGCAAGCATGGAGGTTTCGGAAGAACCTCACAGCTGGCCGCAACCTGTCGTAGATCAACAACCTCGTGACTTTGTAGGAATGTTCGATAAGCTGCGCAATGCAGATCTTGTGCATGCAAAAGTGAAACATAGTTGTAACGAGCAGCAGCGGCTGGTACAAATGGACCTTATTATGGGGAATTTCTCTCATCTTCTTGATTTGCTCAAAGATTGGACCATTCCAAAGGACACTACGATTAAGTTTCATGGTCATCCACAGATAGTCCGTTTTGGATCTCACTTGGTCCTCGTTCTCCGCCGTATTCTGGCAGATACATCAGACGAAGTCGTTGCCGAAAAGCTAAGGATTGTTGGAGACCTCATACTTAATGGTTATGTGATTTTTCTTTTTACCGAACATCAAGAAGATCTTGTGGGGGTTTATGCATCACAACTGGCTCCTCATTTATGTGTGGATCTCTACGTGAATTTTATGGACCTCCGACTAAACGATCCTGTGCCTGTCAAATATAAGTTGTTCCGCTCTGCTATTGAGTTTCTGCCCTTTTTCCCGGACATTGACGAAACCAAGGGCTGTGTGCTAAACATACTCGAGAAGTAAGTGAACTCTTTTTATTTGTTTATTTATTTTCAATTGATTTAAAAGACTTCATAGTTTAGGATTACTTGCATCCTCACACGAGGTCTGAGTGGCATTGAGAGAGAGAGAGAGAGAGAGAGAGAGAGAGAGAGAGAGAGAGTGTGTGTCTGGTTAACGTTTGAGTTATTTGTTTTGACCTACTACCCAATATTCTGCCTTGCGTCTTACAAGTTCTTCGAGCAGTTCTTTTATTACTACATGGTTTTTGCTTATACCGGTTGATAGCTTTGGTGTTCCAATGTTTATAGCGTCACCTATTGATACTGATGGAAGTAGCGTTTCTGGTATGTGACGTCATACTTGCAAGCTTGGAAACAACCATTCGCCTAATACTATTTGTGTGCGTTATTGTTATTTGTTGTGGTACTCGGATGGTCTACAGGGTACTAAGCAAATCTAGGGAGATTAAGCCTGGGTTACAGGCAGGCGTGAAAAGCGAGGAGTTAGAGCGAGGTGGTATAGGGGAGCTGCGACAGCTCCAAAGTGTACAGAAGGCACAAGCTTTGCAGTGGCTGTGTTTTACCCCTCCTGAAACTGTACCAGGTGTTGAGCGTATACGTGCAGAGTTACTGGCTCGGGCTCTTGAGCATAGTAATCTTTTGTTTCGTGAATTTGCCTTGTTATCTTTATGGCGTACAACAGTGGTACCTGCGGGGCCACACAGACTCTTGAGTCTTTTAGCAGAACCCTTGAAGCAGGTGCCAGAGATTCTTGCTTCCCTTGAACATCCCGATCGTATGGAGGAGAATTTGCAAGAGTTTGAATGTTGGAGATTCTACTATGAGTGTGACGGTCTATACAGAAGCTGGTTCAACATTGAACAAACGAACGCTGAAGTGCCTCCAGAACATCTCTCGGTTGAGGAGAAGGAGAGAGCCATTTCAGCTGCGCGGGTAGCTCTTGAGCAAGCATTTGCCTTGCTGACATGTGACAATGGCATGTGGCTTGCGGGTGTGGATACGACAGTGGGTGCTGACACCGAGGTTGCCTGGCTGGAGCTTCAGGCGACAGCTGTGCTGATGTCTGCCTCAGGAGTATATTTACCTCCTGAACCCACCGTGTGCACCACGCTGAGCAGTGCATTGCACCATTGTGGTGGAGAGGCGGGGTTGATGAGGCAGCTGACTGTAGAAGTAGATGTGAATAGGAGGGATATAAATTGTGTGGATGTTCGGCTGCGGTGTCTGCCAGTGTCTGGAGATGGGCTGGGTTTGGCAACTGGTCATGACGGGGGTCTCCTTGGTTCCATTTTAGCTTTGGCAGCCAAGGGAGAGATGCCGCATTTTCAGTCTGGCCTTGCATTGGAAGTTGTCTCTATGGACGCATGGCGTTGGGACGAAAATTTGGTACTTCGAACACCTGCAACGTACATTCTGCAAGGCCTGGCCCGGCGTTGTTGTTTGCCAGAGCTCATCCTGCGGTGCATGGAGCTGAAGGTCTTCCTTGCTGCCTCCCGTGGAGCAGAAGATGTGGATGATGAATCTACTGATCTGATTGGGTTGGTTGCTTCGAAAGAAACAGCTTTGCACCGTCTATTCAGTCAAAGGCAGCTGCAAATATTCCTTCTGTTGGAAAGAAATATGACCATTTGCAGGATGGAGTCCTGCAGGGATCATGCTCCTCATTTCTAGCGGATCTTTTGGTGTGGTACGGGTCAAACTTGTGTCATGGCGAATCTATGTACAATCTTAGTGTCAATTGCAATTCACCGATTCCGAGATTTAAGAGTTTACTTCAATGGCCTTGGTCTTATTAATTTGCATTCTTTTAAATCCTCTCATCTAGTTTTGTCATTCTTTATCATTCCAGGTCTGTAGCTCGAGTCTAGACTCTTCTTCGCAGCCCGATTTTGTAGATTTCACTGCTCGTTTCAGACGTTTTGTTCCGTACGATTCTAGGTGCAATCGGACCAACTGCCCAGGTGTTGCGGCATCCGACTTCTTCTTGTATGATGCTTGAGAATCAATGGATTTATTGGTGTTCATTAAATGAATGTACTTATGGTAATATCGTATTATAGATCTGCTATTTTATGAGGGACGCTTAATCATCGTCCGAAAGGCAGTGAAAACCAAGACAATAATTTACACAATTGAGATATTCAGTTTTTAGTTTCACTTTTACTTTATAACAAAATTTATGTTGTAAAATTTTTCCGACCAAATACTTCCTAACCTTACGAAATGAATTGTGCTTTGGAAATACTAGCAAGTATATAAATGTATAAGGTATGTCTGTAGAATACATTATCTGTCTTTGAAATCCATTATTACTTGGGTAAGAAAATAAATCATTAACATGTACAATATGATTTCTAGGGAAATATAAATGAGGGGCCAAATCTATTTATCCCTTTATACATGCATACATGCCAAACAAATAATTATTTATGGATATTTTTATTTGTGATTTTATCAATTCTATTTAAATAGAATTGATAATTATTCATGGATATTTTAAATTTGTGAACATGCTTATTTGTTGATAAATTTATGTTTGTTTCCTTTTTATTATTTTATTTTATTTATTTGTTTTTTTCGTCTATAATATATGTATATATATATATATACATATATTGATTTTGCATTGTGCAAATTCACATGCTTAGTACAGCTTGAAAACTAAAGTCGTAAAAAACCATTAAAATTTAAGATCACGATAGACAATTGAAGATTCAGTTGAAGTACGAGCGTCGAACTAATAGAAATTGTTGTAGTAGTGGAGCAGTGTCAATACTTTATCTGTAAACGAATATCATGCACTGGATATTTATCGTTCTCCATGTTAACTGTAAGAGCTGCGTTCCTCTTCGTCGACAAGTATCTCCTAGCTTTGTATCGTCTTTTTGGGCGCTTTTCGCCGCCAAATTAAATCCCAGGTTGTTTTGTGCTCCATGCGGAGTTGTAGCAGGTATTGAAGTGGCGGAAACTATGTGAAAGATTATGAAGTGCAACGCCTGTTGGAAAAATTTGGAGGGCCGGGCCGTCGCAACAACATGTGGCCATATCTTTTGTATCCTTCTAACTGGTAAATCGCTGTCGATGTCAGTGAGCTATGTCCTCTTCTGCTTCTTTGAAATTTTGGTTAGTTGTTGTAGTCCTTCATTGCAACTGCAGGCACCGAAGATGCTCAGAAAATCTTGAGCTCTGTTGACGCTAACTGCCCGTTGTGTGAGCAGACGCTTTCAAAGAGGTGATGATCACTGATGCAACATTTCCCTAGTGACATTCATCATGTAGGTCTATTGCATGATACGAATATTTGTGCACGCTTGGTGGTGTGACTAAGATTAAGTTTCTCTCTCTCGGTGAACTAATACCTGCATGTCTAATTGGTTATGGCACTGTTTCTTCATCTGATGTGGCCGCAGCAAGGTTAAGGCTGTGGATATGTCTCCAACTGATGAATGGATCAACGTAAGTATCTGGTCTTTGTAAGCTTGGAACTTCAAATTTGTGAGAAAGGATTTCTAAAATATCCGTTTCATGTACAGAAAGGATTCTTAGTAAGGACTTGTGTTCATTAGTTGTAGGTCTCGTCCGGTTAGGAACTCGTTACTGATATACGTAAATCATTAACGGCTTATGTTCTTGAAGTAGATCACTTTGAGCTAACAAAAATGGTTTGTGCTTAGACTACGTGAAAATTCGGAGAACAATTAGTAAAAAAGAGACGCCTAGCGCACATTGGAATCGGTCTGCGAGACGTTTAAACTGTATACAACAATCTGGAAAATTATGAGTACCGTCGCGGTCTCGTACGCTTCATTCTTGCTCTTGTAGCGTGATTTGATCTATGAGGAGGCTATTTACGAAATTTCTTGTGTTCAGATGGTAATGGCTGGCGTAGCTCCTCAGAGCAGTATCCTTATATTTCATTTTGCGATGAAACTGGTACTTGTCATGAGTTTTTGAGGTAGTCCTATGCAGTGATAGTTTGGACACACATGACACTGTTGAAAATCTTTGACGGATTGTAGTAATGAAAAGTGCATTTAAGGGTGTAATCTTCTGGATTGGGCAAAAGGACGTGGAGGTTCAGCTTTCTGTAAACAAGGCTTTACACTTTCGTCAGAAGTGTGAGCAAATGCAAGGTGCTTACGCGCAGAAAATGAGGCAAGTGGAGGAAGCCTACACTGCAAAGCTCCAGCAAGTGCATTCGGGATACCAGAAGGCCATGAAAAAAATCCAAGCTATGGACCATGAGAAGGAAGTCATGCTCAAAGACAAAAAAGAAATTCAAGAAAAATACACCGAGAAGTCTAGGTCAGTCATCATATCCTTCAGTAGCCTATTCTGAGGTAGTTGAAAACTCCAATCGTTTTTCACATCGTTTATGTCCAGAAAGAGGGGACTCCAAGGCTAGTTAACATTTGCTATCTCCGTGTGCATGTACGTTGATTGCGACAGGCAGAAGAGGAAATTGGAAGAGATGTATGATGCTTTGAGAAAGGAGTATGAGCTTTTGAGGCGATCCATTGCATCCTCCACCCCTGATAATACTGCTGTGGTTCAACGGCCAAACCCCTACTCTTTTGCTCCAAATTTCAATGGGCTGGATGACATCCGACATCAATCTTCAGGTCTATCTGGTAACTTCGTCCTCATCTATTATTACACTTGTGTCTTCAGTAATGTCCGTACAGAATAGTTGGGTTGCCACATGAGCGCATGATGCTGAAATCTCAAAATTTAAGCAAAACCCTTACATAACACTTAGATGGAGAAAAACTCGTTGCAGATATGGCTCCAAATACTCCAGCAGTTACTCCGAACTTTTGGCGTAATTCTTGTCCAGAAGCCCAGCTATGTTCCTTCGACTTACCTAATTTACAACAATCATCACGCAATCAAAGGCAGGCTACTGGGAACAGCCTTCCCCGACCATTTTCTGCTGGGTCACCAACCATGTTCAACGCCTCCGTTCACTCTCAGTTCGCTACATCTGCCGGTGCACAGCCCTCAGATACTTTTCGTAACCTTCTTCGTTCCCCCGGCACAAGACGCTCTCAGGGCCTGATGAGGGGTTTATGAGGTACCCCTGCAGCGGGAGTTATAATGCAATGCAGTAATTATGGGCATTATATTAGCTCATATAATTCTTGGCACATTCACAGATCCGCTTTCTCGTTGGAGCACATTTTCTTTTCTGTGGCATGAAACGGCGAATTTATGTGACTCGAGCTTACTCTCAACGCATGCTACGGCTGGTTGCTGCTTAGCTTATGGAGTTTTGTCACACTCTGCAGATAACCGTTCAACCTGTTGGGTGAATATAGGTGCCGCAACTGTTTAACAACCGTTTTTGAACAAGATATAGAGGACCCTCTCCTTGATCATAATTCCTTTTAGTCCAATTCGCATCCAATCGATAACATGGTTGTTGATAGTGCGTAGTTGTCCTACCGTCGTCTTCTAGTATGCTTACATAAGATTTCCGGTCTTTCGAAGAAGATACCCAACGGAAACCAAAAAAAAAACAGGAAAAAAGAAAAAAAATATGTTTAGTGTTGTCAGAATTTCGTCGGAATCGACAGGATCAATCAAAATAACTTTGCTTTTCATTTGAACATTCTTCGAATTGAATGAACGTGGTTATTTTTAAACAAGAGGAATCATTTCTTGCACAGTTGTGAAGATTTGTTTTAAAATTAATACAATTGAGATAAAAGATTATAGGGCTTGAAAGTCAACTGCTTAAGAAAAGCCTATTCGAAAAAAGTTACCATGAATGTATATGTTTATAAAAAAAAAACATATTTGTTGATGTTTTGAGATACAATAATTTAAAAAGTATTAATTCTTTTGTCAAAATTCATTGAAAATAAAATCGATAAAATCCGTGCTCGGACTAATTTGTTGCTACGACTAAGATTTTATTTACAAAAATAACCACGTTCAACTTAGCATTTGTGTAACATACTGGGACAATTTTTTGTTTTAAATTCACATTCCAAGTGCATGGAAAAAATGTAAAACCATATATATAAATATAAAATAAAATTTAATTAAAAGATGTTTTTAATATGGTGGCTCTGAAGTGTGGGATGAGTAATAGGAAGTTATAACAAATGCCAAAGGGACTTAACCGCAACAGCGCATAAGGGAACTTGGCAGACGCCACCCTCAACACGTTCAACGCCGAAACTAGAGGGTAACGCTGAAGCTCTTCCAACTCTCCTCCAACCCTCCTCTCTTCAGAAGATTCATGGCGACCATGAAGAACCTGAAAATTAAGACTGGGGTCTGCAAGCGGTTGATGAAAGAGCTGCAATCTTACCAAAGCGAAGCCGATAAAGAATGCATTAAGGCCAAGAACATGCGAAGGTCTCATGCTGACCCTTTCGACATCAAACAACAGGTACCGAACCCTTTGGATATCACACCGCACTGCGAAGTGAGCCAACTGGTTTTCCACGTCTCGAAGAGTTTGTTCGATTTCCTACACTGAGCGGATGTGGACATGATTTCATGTTCGATTTGTTTGCCTGTTTAATTTCGTGTTTTAGCAAAATTATTCGATGAGAGAGCGAGAGAGAGCGTGAAGGAAATGTTACTCGAGAAGATTGGATTCTCGAGAATAATTGCAGCGAGGGCTTGGTTTCAGGAACATGTTGTGGCGGAGTCGTGCTTGACAATATCCAATTGTAGGAAACGACTTGAGACGGCTCTGGCAACTCTCGAAGCAGCAGTGGTAAGGCAACCATCATTAGGCTCCTATTCCAATATTTCTCATGGAATTCTGACATTGTGTTGACATCCCGAGAACTCCATGGAAAGAGGAGACTAACCTGCAAATTTACCGCAGGTGGATGCGGAAGCTCAATCCACGGCAGGAGAGAGTGAAGAACTATCCGCTGCTTCAGAATTGATTGCTCAAGTAAAGCCATTGTTCATTGCGTGACCACGTGCACATTCAGTAATCGTGAAGATCTAATACTTGATTCAAACAATTGTAGGACAAATATTGACAAGCATGGTATACCAGTATAACTCGTCAGGAATTCATGCTGCAGTTATTATTGAACTCCACAATTCTGAGCTATCACAGGAAAAATTAACAAGAACAAAAAAATCATCTACATAGAAGTTATATAATGGTAGCATTTTTGGAAACACAGTTTTAGTTCAAGACTTTGTTCACCAGTTGGGTCCGACAAGTCGAAAGAATTAGGTGCGAAAACACCACTTTCCCAATTCGATAACACCTGGTAGAGAGCTGAGCAAAATCTTGAAAATAGCAAACTAGCTTTGAAAGCAATTGACAATCCTCTTGTGATGAAGATTAAAATATAAGTTGTTTTCAAAAGTGTATCCATCTAATTGGAAATTTAAATAGTAGAATCTCGGAGCAAAATTCCACTTCATTTTCCTGGAGAGAACATGGTGAGAGCTGGCTCGAATATTTGTTAAGTACAATAAATAAAAGCGCCAAGATGTTATTTTAAAGGAGAGGGATTTGTGTATAGATCTTTTGTAGATGATCGTTTTTTCTTACTGGGCAGCGTGCTCGTAAATTTACGCAGAGCCTCACATGAAGTGGTTTTTTCTGATCTCCCATCAGATATCTACAATGTCAGATTGAGAGGCGTGCACCTTTAGTGCAAGATTAAAATTATGTGTACAACTCTACCTTGCTTCTACATCAGACTAGGTCAAGTTCCGTGCTAATCGAGGGTTTCAGTACATTGATAGGGGTTCGATGAAGTCGAATCGGGATGGTAGACATGCCCGTGTGCAGACGGGTGTAGTATTCAGAAAAGTCGAGCCGGAAAGATAGAAACTTCAAATCTATATGTTGCCCTGGCAACTGTGCAATGAAACCTTCAAGCAGTGATGAGTATTCAACTGCAACCCAATCCATCTCATCCCCAAGATAAGCCAGGAAATCACCTGACAGTTGTGCAGTGGACAATTCCCTCTGTCCAGAACGAGACTTGGAGAATGTATCATTCTTCTCTGTGGGCCTCAGTGATGTCTCATACCTGCTACAAAAATGGTATTCACCTGTTAAGGCATGCTGAAGTATTATGATGTTGAAGGCTAATGTTAAAAGATATGGTTTTTGTAACGTTGGGCACTTCTGAAATTAAAGTTCCAATTCCCTTAGAAAAGAGTTGGAAACTTTACTTATCGGTCTAAACCTGAAATTGATGTTTGAAAAAGGGTACCTGGTCTGGAAGTTACGTGCATTCTCATACAGTCTATCTGCGAAGGCTCTAAATCGCAGAATGAGGTCGACGAGGCTAAACAGCGTCTTGCAAAGCAACTGAGAGCGTTCATCCAACAGTGCCTTCTCCAAAATAGAGTCCAAGTATTTGACATGGGCAGCGATGAGTTCGTCAAGGTCATGTGCCTCCTCCATTTCTTCGAGAAAGTTTGACCATGAGTACTCAAGAACCTCAAACGTGATGTAGTATTGAAGTTTAGTCACAAAATGATTCATCTCATTTCGCAAGGTCTGACACCTTCTCAGAACTAGGGCTAACTGAGATCTCCCTCCACCTTCATTATTGGATTCCACGCGAGCAATCATGCAATATGGTTTCATTGCCTGCCAGGTTGCATGCTCCATACGCTTTAGCCTCCAAAGAAAGTTGAAGACTCTCAGATATTTTCTCATAAACTTCTTTGGTGAAGAGAGTAGTGAGAGGTTCTCGGGCATTGTGCTCGAGAGAAAATGCATCCCATCCTCTGTCCCCATCATTGTGCGGCATCATGCTCACCCTGAGCCAATCAAGTACATCTCCATCATTGTATTATGCGCAGATAGTGTTGACATTATCAACATCTGCTCTGTAACTTGACAGCTAGATCACTCATCCTATCTACAACACAACAGAGCCGTTATAGAAACTCTGTCCATGCTCCCTATTTTTACCTATGGCTGGCACTACCTATCGACGCATAAAGCCTCACTTGTATCGTGCAATATTCATTCAAGAAAGAATATGGTTTGTTAAGTCTAACATGATATCAGATTTGGTAGTATGTTTGGAGGAGTGAGAAGTGGAGAAAGTTGTTGAGTATTCAGTGGAGCTAAGTGAGAGAAACATTGAGTATATCTTGTTTTTTTTTTGTTGAGATTAAACTAGTTCTAGAAAGATGAGTATGTTAGGCATTGTCATTTAGAAGGACAAGATGCTAGCATCACCAACGAATTACAAATTGTGGAAGACCACAATAGAACATGTATTCAAGAAAGAAGATTTGTAGAATTATATTGAGTCTACCAATGATGAAGAAGCTAAAACAATAAGTGGTTAAATTGTTGGAGTATCTAGAACAACAAGAGAGATAATAAAAAAATCAAGATTTGAAACAATAGGAAGTGAAGGCTTAACAATCTCGATACCAATATAACAAAAGTTGGATCTTTAATATAAAAAGAAGAAAAGAGCCTTACAGATTGTCAAGCTCTTCTTAATTGAGCGACCTCAAGACTTCATCTTTGACTTATAGAAACTTAGAACAACATGGATGGAACTTTAAAAATTATACTAAACATATACATTAGCTAATGTCATGATTTTGTAGAACAAGTGGTCAACAATTCAAATGATGGATAATATAGATGACTTAGCATTCTTATAGCTAATTTATAGATTTTTGAAAGAATTTAAAGCTACAATCTAGTAGATTAATAATGCTACAATTATTTATAAAATCTTTATTCATTTTCCACTTTTTTTTGACTAATTTATACATGTTGTTTAAAATGAGAGAGTAATTCCTTCCATTTTCGAGTTAATTAATAGATTACACTTTAAAGAAACTAATTTGAAATTTTGGTAAGATTCATTGCAAGAAGAGGCTCTAATTATGAAAATTTGAAATAACATTTGAAGCAACAAATTTTCACAACCTAAACAAATAATACACATAAGTTTTCAAAAGATAAATGATTTTGAATCTTGCTTAAACTATGCACATAGGGATTAACTTATTAATAATTAATACAACAAATTGAGTCACTTTGTAAAAGTATGTACTATCCTAACACTATTCTAATAAAATTTTCAGAAACTATATAGACATTCTATGAAAAGATCCATAGAAGCTCACATACTTGATGATTTTCTAAAAAATAACTCTCTACTTTTTTCTATTATCAACAACAATATTGCAGCAATTCTTATTGCTGTCTTGGTGGGCACTTGTCACGAACACAAAAATACAGACTTGAGATCTAACAAGAAGTTCAAAAAGAAGTGGCAAGAACTAGATTAATCAGATGAATACAAGAACAACACCAGAGAGGTGAGCTAGAGCTCCAAGAGATGTGTTGTCGAGACTGAAGAACTCTTCAGCCTCGATTCCAATATATACTCCTATTTAGGAAGCTTCTCAAGTAACTTCTACCAACTAGGAAGCTTCTAGAAGGTTCCAGAGACTTACTTCTAGAAGGATCTAGAAATTTATCTCTAGAAGGTTGTAAGGACTATGTCCCTAACATCTTCTACCAACTAAGAAGCTTCTAGAAGGTTCCAGAGACTTGCTTCTAGAAGGTTCTAGAAGCTTGTCTCTAGAAGATTCTAGAAACTTGTCTCTAGAAGATTCCAAGGACTATGTCCCTAACATCATCCCTTCCTTTAGCTTCGAGGTCTCTGAGAAGCAATGTTGTTGTCAATCAATACCAATGCAAGAAAATGAAGATCTGTCGCATAACGTCTACTATGAACTCCAACTGTTGTTCACGAGGTAAGTGATTCATCGGCCCTTGAAGCCAACGGTAGTGGCCCACTCCTTCAACTTCTGACCAAGCATGAACTTCCATGTGTTCATTGTGAAATTGTCCTGCAAATATGCCTTTTGGTTGACCATCGTAAGCAGGCTCGGACTCAAATACAATCACCAGTGATCGGTTACTTGGTATCCTCTGTCGTCATCGTGGTGCAGATGGTTCTTCATCTCGGGGTCGCCTTCGTGAACTAGTTGGTTCAGATAATCTGACTTGCATAGTATCTATCTCTTGGCTATCCATATCAGAAGACCAAACTATGGCTACTGAAAAAATTCTATTTTATCTTGGAGAAAATAACTACATCAACTACGAATTTTGGTGGTGCTCTCCCCCTTTCTTATATTCTTGGGTGAGCAAGCTTCAGAAAGAAGCTATCGTCGAACCGACTTAGGTTTATGAGGATGTTGTTGATGAAACTCCTGTACCTTTTGTGGCGCATTGGCGAGATTTTCAGCTGGCTCCCACGTTCGCTCATTAATGTCGTAGCCGCACCAATGAACAAGATACTCCAAGTTGTCCCACCTTTGCCGTGAATCCAGTACCTTTTCAACCTCGTATTCCTCGTGGTTCTCGATCTCAATACTAGGTAGTGGACATTGCACTCTTCCAGGAAAAGACGACTCTCGATAAGGCTCCAACAGAGAAACATGAAAGACTGGATGTACCTTCATAGAAGCCGGTAATTCCAGACTGTACGCCACTGGATTGATTTGCTTCTGGATGATAAATGGTCCCAATCTTTGATAGTCCAACTTATCACATGGTCGCTTGGTCTTGATATTCCGTCGAAGAAGCCATGCTTTATCTCCAATTTTGAAAGTAGGTGCTTGATTCCGAAATCTATCTGCAGACGCCTTGTAGGATTCTTGAGCGGATTGTAATTGAAGCTTCAACGTATTTTGAAGCTCTGATAGTTATTTCGCAAATCCTTCAGATGCTGGATTGTTATTTGTTGATGGATTCAATAAATCAAGCTTCGGATGATACCTATAGTTGAAAAAGAATGGTGTGTATTGAGTCGACGCATGGAGGGTGTTGTTATATGCAAACTGGGCTAGCGACAGATATGTGGTCCAATCGTCTTGCTGATAGTTGATGCTGCATCGTAAGTATTGTTCCAAGACTTAGTTCACCCGTTTCGTTTGACCCTCAGTTTAAGGATGAAAAGCCGAAGAAAGCTTGATATCCACCTTCAATATCTCAAAGAGAGATCTCCAAAACTTTGATACGAACTGGGTTCCTCGATCTGATATGATATCATCTGGTAGTCCATGATAACGATACACATTATCGAGAAAGAGCCTTGCTGTGACTTCACTGGACAATGTTTTCTTGCAAGGGACAAAGTGTGCCATTTTTGTAAGCCGATCTACCACGACAAAGATGCTGTCAAATGAGTTCGATGATGGCAGGTCCGTGATGAAGTCCATGGAAATTGAAGACCATCGTCGACGTAGAATCGGCAATGGCTGTAGGAGTCCATAAGGGTGATGTCGAGGATTCTTAGATCTTGAACAAATGTCGCAGGAGAGGACAAAATCTTTCACATCCTTCCACATTTGGGGCCACCAAAAATCTCGAGAAATAAGCTTCAAGGTCTTATTGAATCCAAAATGTCCCGCAGTTGGAAAATCGTGGCAAGATTGAAGAACTCGGAGTCATGCTGGTCCTTTTGGGATATATAACCACTCTTCAAAGTATAAAAGATCTCCCTCCACCTTGAACTTTTCATCATTGGCACGTTGCTTAATATCAATGGCTACTGAATCTTTAATGGTCACGGCACGTACCTGATTCAGGAAGTCAACATCAATTGGCAAAATAGTAGCGCAAAGCTGAAATTGCTCTGGCTTCAACAATGTCGTACATTGTTGATCAAACGCTACTTCTTCAGCCTTTGGTACAAGATACGATCTCCTAGATAAGGCATCAAATAAGCCTTGCTGCTTTCCAGGTCAATAAGTGATAACAAAATCGAACCTAAATAGCAACATACTCCACCGAGCTTGACGTCGATTTAGAACTCGAGCCGACATGAAATACTCCAAATTCTTGTGATCTGTGTATACGGTCCCTGGATGTGCAGCTCTTTCAAGAAAGTGACACCATTCTTGGAAAGAATCCACTATAGCAAGAAGTTCCTTATCGTGGATCTCATAATTGATTTCAGCAGTAGAGAACTTTCGAGAATAGAATGCAACCGGATGGAGCTTCTTATCTTCTCCTATTTATGAAAGTACACCTCCTAAAGCAAAATCCGAAGCATCAATTTCTAAATAAAAGGCCTTTGTAAAGTCTGGATGTATCAAGATTGGAGCCATAGTAAATGCGGTCTTCAGGTCTTGAAATGCCTTCTCTGCTAGAGGTCCCTATTCCAGCTTATCCTTGCATGTCAATCGAGTGAGGGGAGCAGCAACTTGAGAGTAATTTTTGATAAAGATCCGATAGAAGTTAGCAAAACCAAGAAAACATTGTACGTCTCTAACTGTCTTCGGAACCTCCCAGGACATAATTGCTTCCACCTTCTTGGGGTCCATCTTCAAGCCTTCCGTAGTCGCAACAAATCCCAAAAACTCCATCTCTATTTAGTGAAATAAACACTTCTCCAACTTGGCATATAGTCCTCGCTTGCGTAGTTTCTCCAAGACCAAACGAACGTGTTTTTCATGCTCTTCCTCATTTTTGGAGAATATCAAAATATCATCCAAATAGATGACAACAAAATCATCAAGGTCCTCTCGAAAAATGTCATTCATCATATGTTGAAAGACCGCTGGAGCATTGGTAAGACCAAAGGGCATGACATTATACTCAAAATGGCCATACCTTGTACGGAACGCTGTCTTCCACTCATCTCCTTCCTTGATTCGTACGAGGTTGTAAGCTCCTCTTAGATCAATTTTTGTAAAGATCCTTACACGTCCAAGTTGTTCTAAGAGACCAGAAATCAAGGGTAACGG